CCTAAAGGTGTCCACTCCATCAGGCGACCTAAAGGTGTCCTAAACTCCATCAGGCGACCTAAAGGTGTCCTAAAACTCCATCAGGCGACCTAAAGGTGTCCTAAACTCCATCAGGCGACCTAAAGGTGTCTTAAAACTCCATCAGGCGACCTAAAGGTGTCCTAAACTCCATCAGACGACCTAAAGGTGTCCTAAACTCCATCAGGTGACCTAAAGGTGTCCTAAACTCCATCAGGTGACCTAAAGGTGTCCTAAACTCCATCAGGTGACCTAAAGGTGTCCTAAACTCCATCAGGTGACCTAAAGGTGTCCTAAACTCCATCAGACGACCTAAAGGTGTCCTAAACTCCATCAGGTGACCTAAAGGTGTCCTAAACTCCATCAGGCGACCTAAAGGTGTCCTAAACTCCATCAGGCGACCTAAAGGTGTCCTAAACTCCATCAGGTGACCTAAAGGTGTCCTAAACTCCATTAGGTGACCTAAAAGTGTCCTAAACTCCATCAGGCGACCTAAAGGTGTCCTAAAACTCCATCAGGCGACCTAAAGGTGTCCTAAACTCCATCAGGTGACCTAAAGGTGTCCTAAACTCCATTAGGTGACCTAAAGGTGTCCTAAACTCCATCAGGTGACCTAAAGGTGTTCTAAACTCCATCAGGTGACCTAAAAGTGTCCTAAACTCCATCAGACGACCTAAAGGTGTCCTAAACTCCATCAAGTGACCTAAAGGTGTCCTAAACTCCATTAGGTGACCTAAAAGTGTCCTAAACTCCATCAAGTGACCTAAAGGTGTCCTAAACTCCATCAGGCGACCTAAAAGTGTCCTAAACTCCATCAAGTGACCTAAAGGTGTCCTAAACTCCATCAGGCGACCTAAAGGTGTCCTAAAACTCCATCAGGCGACCTAAAGGTGTCCTAAACTCCATCAGGTGACCTAAAGGTGTCCTAAACTCCATTAGGTGACCTAAAAGTGTCCTAAACTCCATCAAGTGACCTAAAGGTGTCCTAAACTCCATCAGGTGACCTAAAGGTGTCCTAAACTCCATCAGGTGACCTAAAGGTGTCCTAAAACTCCATCAGGTGACCTAAAGGTGTCCTAAACTCCATCAGGTGACCTAAAGGTGTCCTAAACTCCATCAAGTGACCTAAAGGTGTCCTAAACTCCATCAGGCGACCTAAAGGTGTCCTAAAACTCCATCAGGCGACCTAAAGGTGTCCTAAAACTCCATCAGGCGACCTAAAGGTGTCCTAAACTCCATCAGGTGACCTAAAGGTGTCCTAAACTCCATTAGGTGACCTAAAAGTGTCCTAAACTCCATCAAGTGACCTAAAGGTGTCCTAAACTCCATCAGGTGACCTAAAGGTGTCCTAAACTCCATCAGGTGACCTAAAGGTGTCCTAAAACTCCATCAGGTGACCTAAAGGTGTCCTAAACTCCATCAGGCGACCTAAAAGTGTCCTAAACTCCATCAAGTGACCTAAAGGTGTCCTAAACTCCATCAGGCGACCTAAAGGTGTCCTAAAACTCCATCAGGCGACCTAAAGGTGTCCTAAACTCCATCAGACGACCTAAAGGTGTCCTAAACTCCATCAGGTGACCTAAAGGTGTCCTAAACTCCATCAGGTGACCTAAAGGTGTCCTAAACTCCATCAGGTGACCTAAAGGTGTCCTAAACTCCATCAGGTGACCTAAAGGTGTCCTAAACTCCATCAGACGACCTAAAGGTGTCCTAAACTCCATCAGGTGACCTAAAGGTGTCCTAAACTCCATCAGGCGACCTAAAGGTGTCCTAAACTCCATCAGGCGACCTAAAGGTGTCCTAAACTCCATCAGGTGACCTAAAGGTGTCCTAAACTCCATTAGGTGACCTAAAAGTGTCCTAAACTCCATCAGGCGACCTAAAGGTGTCCTAAAACTCCATCAGGCGACCTAAAGGTGTCCTAAACTCCATCAGGTGACCTAAAGGTGTCCTAAACTCCATTAGGTGACCTAAAGGTGTCCTAAACTCCATTAGGTGACCTAAAGGTGTCCTAAACTCCATCAGGTGACCTAAAGGTGTTCTAAACTCCATCAGGCGACCTAAAGGTGTCCTAAACTCCATTAGGTGACCTAAAGGTGTCCTAAACTCCATCAGGTGACCTAAAGGTGTCCTAAACTCCATCAGGTGACCTAAAGGTGTTCTAAACTCCATCAGGTGACCTAAAGGTGTCCTAAACTCCATCAGGTGACCTAAAAGTGTCCTAAACTCCATCAGGCGACCTAAAGGTGTCCTAAACTCCATCAAGTGACCTAAAGGTGTCCTAAACTCCATTAGGTGACCTAAAAGTGTCCTAAACTCCATCAAGTGACCTAAAGGTGTCCTAAACTCCATCAGGCGACCTAAAAGTGTCCTAAACTCCATCAAGTGACCTAAAGGTGTCCTAAACTCCATCAGGCGACCTAAAGGTGTCCTAAAACTCCATCAGGCGACCTAAAGGTGTCCTAAACTCCATCAGGTGACCTAAAGGTGTCCTAAACTCCATTAGGTGACCTAAAAGTGTCCTAAACTCCATCAAGTGACCTAAAGGTGTCCTAAACTCCATCAGGTGACCTAAAGGTGTCCTAAACTCCATCAGGTGACCCGATGGAGAAAAAACCCTTGGGAGAACCCAGGCTCAGTCGGGGTCAGTTCTCCTCTGGCGTTTCTGAACTAGAGGCCGGATTTACTGTAACTGTACGGTAATAATGTATATGAATGTCTCTAAACAGACTTTAAACTGAACCTGTGATAAACGCTGACGGCGTTCACATGCGCATTAAGAATTGATTCTATAGTTATGCGTGTTTGAATATATGTGCACAGGTGCCTGAACAAACTACTGGTCTTAGAGAACGAATTACACCGCTTTATCTGTGGGACAGGGATCCTCCATAGGGAGAGGCTGGTTGGCACTTCAGCACTGCATTGCAGACACACACACACACACACACACACGAGCAAACATGCTGGAGACGTCACTTCTGATTGGAGTGAGTGCATCTTGGCCGAGGCCTGTAACCGCAGGACACACACACACACACACTGGAGACGAGTGCAGGGATCGTGATGTCAGGCCCCGTCACACTCCCTGATCACTGACATTTACAAGCGTCCACTGGAGCGCATTAAACACTCATTACTGACACACATACACACACTCATTATAACACACACATACACACACTCATTATGACACACATATACACACACACTCATTACTGACACACATATACACACACTCATTACTGACACACATATACACACAGTCATTATGACACACACACATACACACACACACTGATTACTGACACAAACCAGAGCCGTCGCAGCTCATGCAGTGAATGCTGGGTAACGGCTGGGATCAGCACCACACACACACACACACACACACACACACACACACACACAATTTCCTAAAAAATGCTTTTAGAATTACAATTGAATTGAATTAAGGAAGTACAATAAAAAATGACTGAAATCTAAACAAAATTCAAAAATGGTGAGTTACACCAATAAGTGATTTAAAAAAAAATATAAAAAACTAAAGTCGGACATTGAATGACACTGTTTCTGCGACACTGAAGAACACTTCATTTCCCAGAATGCATTACCTGCAGGATTGATCAGAGGTCAGAGGTCACGCATGTACACACATCTCCAACATCATGGTTATTTCATGTGCTACTGTCAATTATTATTTTTTATATTTCTAAATTCTTTTATTTTTATTTGTCAGTAATTTTGCCTTCATTTGCCATGACAACATTTCTAACATTCATTTATTTGATTTCAGCTGTCACTAATTAACAAAAACATATATTAACAGTTTTAGATAAGGTTAATGATAATAATCCTGCAGCAGCACTAGTCCTACATGGACTAATTAATGAAGCGTTCATCTCTTTTATTATTTTATCAAAGCAGAAGCCAGTAGAGGCTGAAGACGACATCATGAGATTTGTAAATATGATTTTAAAGAGCTGAAGCGGTGAGATGAGGCTTTACTGAGATTAGAGGATGAAGTCTCCCATCCCAAACGCATTCGAGAGATTCTCCTTCCGAAGCCTCTCGTCCTCTGGAGAAGCCATGGAGCGCTCAGTGTGTTCAATCACGAGATCCACGCGCCTCTGCTGCCCCCTGCTGATCACACACACACACACACACACACACACACAGGAAATTGCATATCTCATTTCCCTTCTATACATCCCACTTAAATCCGAACTGCAGCCTCTTTTATATTGTGTGAAAGCAATGATAATCTGGATGTCTCACCGTGTCTTCAGCTAATGTAGGAAACTGCAGTTACTGTCTTTGGCTCCTCAAACTGACTCTGGTCCCCTACACCCCATTAAATTTAAACCCATCTGAACCTGGAGAAACACGTCTCATCTGTTGTAAAGAGCAGTTTTTAGTCTGTTCTGTCACTCAATGATCTGGACAGTGACCTCTGTGACCTCCGCCTGGACGCCTGTAACTCTGGATGCTCGAGAAACAAACTCGAGAACACGTCACACCTGACCCGGCCTCCTCACGGGGCTCCTCGGATCCTCCAGGTCCCAATGTGCTAAAATGTTTTAAATGTGCTATTGAAACACACACACACACACACAGAATCGAGCGGTAGTGTTGTGACAGCATCACATTCTTCATGGAGCCCCTGATTATATGATTATGTTGATAAGAGGATCACACACACACACACATGCCCTTGACACGGAGACCCAGAACGCCGCGCTCACACAACAGACATTAGCAGTTCAACTCCAACCTGAAGCAGCGCTGCTCTTCTCCTCTAGTGTGCCGTATATCGAGTGAAACACTTCGGGAACACGAACACATGTGGGCGGGGCTTGATTGTGTCTGTGGGGATGATTGGATGGTTGTGGTTTGCTATTGGCTGATCTCATGTGAGTGACAGGTTATAGCCCCGCCCACCTCATGCTGCAAGAGGAACTGATTCAACATTATTAACACAATAATGATGTGCACACATAAAACATTTAATATAAACATGGAATTATTCCAATAAAACAGGAAATTTGATTTGATGGAGACTTTAAAGTGAGACGCTGTAAACACAAGTTTTCTCAAAGCCTCTCAGAAGCAACGAGAAACAGTGTGATGAGCATTTGGTAATATTCCTGATCCTGTTCGTCACTTCTGACGCAATAAAAGCCCAAAACAACAGCGAGATACAGCGCTGATTACACACGACGAGGAGGAGGAACGGCCATTTATTGTAAAACACGGTTTTCTCTTTGTAACACTTCAAAGATCATCAAGTCATTCATGATCCCATGTCTTTCCTGAATGCAGAAATCAGCCGCGTTTGATTGACAGACCGAGACTGTGTGTGTGTGTGTGTGCGTGAGAACACACACACCGCTGTAATCGTTGTGATGAATAAAGGCGTCTGCGGTCGGAGAGGAGTCACCCGGCTAATCTCTGCGTCACCACCTCGCGGTACATGATGGAGATGTAGATGAAGAGCAGGAGGATGACGAAGAAGTCGTCGAGGAAGCCCAGCAGACCCACGACCCCCTCGGGGATGAAGTCGAGCGGGGACGCCAGGTACACCAGTGCTCCCAGCAGAACCAGCAGGATCCGCAGCCGGAACATCCAGAACAGGCCTCCCACCGAGAACACCTCCCTGAAGGCGTGCCGGAGCAGCGTGGGGACGTCCCGGAGCCGGTCCAGCAGCTGCACACACACACACACACATACACACACTCCAATCCATTACAGTTCTTTGTGTATTGGTCCAGTCTGAACACCAGAAGCACATCAGGGACGGATGAGGGTGAACCGTGACGCAATGACGCAAAAAGTCAAAATTATGTCATACTTTGCCAATTATGAGATTGACTTTATGCGTCACACTTTCAACTTTTTATCTCATAATTCTGGTCATATTATAGAAATGTACTCTCGCAATTATAATTTAGTATGTCATAGTTTTATGTTTTAATGTCATGACAAAGATCTGGGAAAGAGCGCTGGGAGAGACGGATCAGATGATGATGATGATGATGAAGATCACTCACGGAGCGCGGCTGCCCGGAGAACCTGCGGTTGTAATCGCTGATGTCTGTGAGGATCAGAACCGGTTCCACTTGCCCGTCCGCAGTCGCAGCGCCGGGTCCGGCGTCGTGGAAGAGTGGGAACAGCAGGGTCACCTGACAAACCAATGAAGGTCAAGGGTCAACACACATCTGGCTCATACAGGTGTACAGAGAGGGTGATCAGAACTAACAGAAGCAGAAAACACATCGTTATTCTCAAATACAGCACTGTCTGGATCGGTCCATCTAAACACAGCTGGTGAGAGGAAGAGGAGATGCAGGATGACAGGATTTAAAATCCAACGTTATAATATATAAACTGTAACATAGTTAATGTCTTTTCTCTATTTCTTCTTTCCGGCTAGCAGACGTTCTGAACGGCCCGTCACTTCAAGTAGCCGAAAGGCTGTGGGCTGGTGGGACCAGTAGGGGGCGCTCACATGTAGGAGCCGAATTGGCCGGTGAGTGACAAACTTAATTTCAAACCCTGATTATGCTTTAATAATAATGATAATAATTATTCATTACATTGATATAGCACTTTACATAGAAGGGGGGATATCTTTCAGCCAGTGATGCGAGCGCAGGACTGACACACACACATATCAAACACATCACGGATCCACATCTGATCTCAGATTCACCATTTGCCTGCAGATGGGGCAGTTGATGGCGCCGAGCCACGCTCCGTAACGCCAGTACGCCACGATACACGGACCTGCGGATACAAGACACACACACACACAAACACACACACGCGTTTCAGCAGTTTGATCGGCTCACATGCAACCAAACAAACCCTTAGTGATGGGACTGACGGCTCAATCGCACTGAAATCCTTCATGTTAACGCCTTAATCCACTCCATGATTTCCACATCATTTCTAGAAATAGCGTAATGATGTAGAAATAGCGCAATGATCACATGTTCAGCGTTCATGCAAACACTACATCAGATTCATCAGTCGGCATGAGTTCAGTGCGGCTGAAGCAGAAGCTGTGCATGTAAATTGGTGTAAACTGGAGTAAACTGGTGTAAATTGGTGTAAACTAGAGTAGACTGGAGTAAACTGGAGTAAACTGGTGTAAACTGGTTAAAATTTGTGTAAACTGGAGTAAACTGGAGTAAACTGGTGTAAATTGGTGTAAACTGGAGTAAACTGGAGTAAACTGGTGTAAATTGGTGTAAACTGGAGTAAACTGGAGTAAACTGGTGTAAACTGGTTAAAATTGGTGTAAACTGGTGTAAACTGGAGTAAACTGGAGTAAACTGGTGTAAATTGGTGTAAACTGGAGTAAACTGGTGTAAATTGGTGTAAACTGGAGTAAACTGGTTAAAATTGGAGTAAACTGGAGTAAACTGTTGTAAACTGGAGTAAACTGGAGTAAACTGGTGTAAATTGGTGTAAACTGGAGTAAACTGGAGTAAACTGGTGTAAACTGGTATGTAAACTGGTGTGTAAACTGGTGTAAATTGGTGTAAACTGGAGTAAACTGGTGTAGACTGGTGTAAACTGGTGTAAACTGGAGTAAACTGGTGTAAACTGGTGTGTAAACTGGTGTAAATTGGTGTAAACTGGAGTAAACGGGAGTAAACTGAAGTGTAAACTGGTGTAAATTGGTGTAAATTGGTGTAAACTGGAGTAAACTGGTGTAAATTGGTGTAAACTAGAGTAGACTGGAGTAAACTGGAGTAAACTGGTGTAAACTGGTTAAAATTTGTGTAAACTGGAGTAAACTGGAGTAAACTGGTGTAAATTGGTGTAAACTGGAGTAAACTGGAGTAAACTGGTGTAAATTGGTGTAAACTGGAGTAAACTGGAGTAAACTGGTGTAAACTGGTTAAAATTGGTGTAAACTGGTGTAAACTGGAGTAAACTGGAGTAAACTGGTGTAAATTGGTGTAAACTGGAGTAAACTGGTGTAAATTGGTGTAAACTGGAGTAAACTGGTTAAAATTGGAGTAAACTGGAGTAAACTGTTGTAAACTGGAGTAAACTGGAGTAAACTGGTGTAAATTGGTGTAAACTGGAGTAAACTGGAGTAAACTGGTGTAAACTGGTATGTAAACTGGTGTGTAAACTGGTGTAAATTGGTGTAAACTGGAGTAAACTGGTGTAGACTGGTGTAAACTGGTGTAAACTGGAGTAAACTGGTGTAAACTGGTGTGTAAACTGGTGTAAATTGGTGTAAACTGGAGTAAACGGGAGTAAACTGAAGTGTAAACTGGTGTAAATTGGTGTAAATTGGTGTAAACTGGAGTAAACTGGTGTAGACTGGTGTAAACTGGTGTAAATTGGTGTAAACTGGAGTAAACTGGTGTAAACTGGTGTAAACTGGTGTAAACTGGAGTAAACTGGTGTAAACTGGTGTGTAAACTGGTGTAAATTGGTGTAAACTGGTGTAAATTGGTGTAAACTGGAGTAAACTGGAGTAAACTGGTGTGTAAACTGGTGTAAATTGGTGTAAACTGGAGTAAACTGGAGTAAACTGGTGTAAATTGGTGTAAACTGGTGTAAATTGGTGTAAACTGGAGTAAACTGGTGTAGACTGGTGTAAACTGGTGTAAACTGGTGTAAACTGGTGTAAACTGGTGTAAACTGGTGTGTAAACTGGTGTAAATTGGTGTAAACTGGTGTAAATTGGTGTAAACTGGAGTAAACTGGTGTGTAAACTGGTGTGTAAACTGGTGTGTAAACTGGTGTAAATTGGTGTAACTGGAGTAAACTGGAGTAAACTGGTGTAAACTGGTGTAAATTGGTGTAAACTGGAGTAAACTGGTGTAGACTGGTGTAAACTGGTGTAAACTGGAGTAAACTGGAGTAAACTGGTGTGTAAACTGGTGTAAATTGGTGTAAACTGGTGTAAATTGGTGTAAACTGGAGTAAACTGGTGTGTAAACTGGTGTGTAAACTGGTGTAAATTGGTGTAAACTGGAGTAAACTGGAGTAAACTGGTGTAAACTGGTGTAAATTGGTGTAAACTGGTGTAGACTGGTGTAAACTGGTGTAAACTGGAGTAAACTGGAGTAAACTGGTGTGTAAACTGGTGTAAATTGGTGTAAACTGGTGTAAATTGGTGTAAACTGGAGTAAACTGGTGTGTAAACTGGTGTGTAAACTGGAGCTCACCGCAGAAGAGATGCCCACAGTTGGTCTCGACGGGCAGAACCGCTTGCTGGAGACACACAGGACACGACATGTCCGAGTAGAACTGATGCCTCGTCTCTGCGGACGAGCCCTGCACACACACACACACGCCGCACACACACACACAGGTTCAGTACAGCCTCACAGAATATCACTGGTCTCCATTGTTGGGGAAACTCATTACAAGTAACTTGATTTATGTAATTCTACTTTTTCATGTAATGCATTTTTAACGCACAATTTACATGAAAATATCTCCCGGAAAAATGACATGCCACTATCATTCCCTACACTTAGAAGCACGAAGAACAGAAGTATTATTTAGATCAGTAGAGCTCCCTTTAAACCACTAAACTCTAAATAAACACTGAAGACGTCCACACTGCACATCTCGTTTATATCGCGTCTAGACTTGTTGTTAATGAGGGGATTTGCAAAAGTGTAAAGCTTGCGCTGTTTCTGAACATGCATTTGACCGATTTCTCCGCCTGGTGACTGTAAAACGCTCTGATTGGCCACTGTGTTCATGCGCTTGATGTGTGCGCTTGTCTGTGATTGGCTACACCGCTCAACGCTGAAACACAATGCAAGTAGTTTCGTTTTGTTTTTGAATAATAATAATATATTGTGTCCTCCAGAGTCTGAGTCACCCCACTCTTACTAATAGGTTGTATTTGTTTATATTAGTTAATGCACTGTGAACTAACAGGAACAAACAATGAACAGCTGGATTTTTATTAATTAACATTGTCAAAGAATAATAAATACAGTAACCTTATTGCAAAGTGTTACCAGGGTCTTTACATTTGCCCAAAATATAACTTTTTTTGTCAAAAAAAAAAAAAAAAGCTCAGGTGGGAAAAAGTGACGCAAATGTAACAAAGCATTACTTTTACATTACTAAAAAAGTAACTAAGTAACACAATTCGTTACTTTCAAAGTAACTTTCCCCAACACTGCTGATCAGCTGAGAGCAAACCCTGATATGTTAAACACAGGTGATAATGTTCCTCTACACACACACCTGCTCGGACTGAAGCTGTTCCCGCACCACACGCACATGCTCCTGGTTCTCCGGGTGGATCCGCTGCTGCTCGTTCCTGAGAGACGAGATCGTATCGTGTGTGAGTATGAGTATGAGTGATCTGGTGTGGGGTCAGGGGTCAGAGGTGAGGGGTCGTCTCACCTGCAGAGCAGCGTTGCCAGGCCGAACAGGAATGTCACGCTGAGTACCAGAACCAGCAGAACCGGGTCACTCACGCCTTCAATGAGCGAATCTTCCTCTGGAACCAGAGAACCGTCCAAACACTCGCTCACCTCCATTACGCCTGTGCATATCCCCCGCTCTGGGTAACACAACAACACAACACAACAACACAATATATCACAACACAACACAACAACACAATATATCACAAAAAGGCAAAGGAACTCCAAGGCACACTCAAATAGAAAAGTTAAAAAGCCTTTAATATCATGGCTTGGTCAAATTAACCATCTAAAAAACTCCAACGCGTTTCGGCTACATGCCTTCTTCTGGGAGTTAAACAGATCTCAAACCAACAGAGTTTTTAAACTAACAGTCCACCAATCAGAAATCTCCATCTGTCAACAGAGGTGCTCAGGTAACAGTACACAAATGGGACAGCAGATGTCATCATTACCACTACTTAACTAATTAATTAAGTACAACCCAACAAGATGAAGGAAAAAAAATTACAAAAAATAAAAAATAAAAATAAAATTAGTTTAGTGGCTTGCAACCTGTATATCCAGAAGGTCTCTCGTTGGTTCAGCTGCCTTTGCCTATTCCCTTTTCGTAAGGACAAAGGAATGTGGTCAATCCCAAAGACCTGCTATGTAGATTGGTCTCTATTGTGGTTTTCCATAAAGTGTCTTGCCATGGGATAGTTGGTATTACCTGTGCGAATTGCGTATTTGTGTTCAGTCAGTCTGTCCAAAAGGCGCCGCTTAGTTCTTGCTATATAAAAAACTTCACACTCAGTACATTCCAATCTATAAATGACAAAGGTAGTTTGACAATTTATGAAATGGTTGATAGTAAATTACCTTTGGGTGCCAACATAATAACATTTTTTGTTTGCCTTACATTAGTGCAATGATTACAATGATGGCATTTGTAAGAACCTATGGGCCTAGGGCCTAACCATGTTCGTTTTGCTTCTGGTTTAAGATAACTGTGATCCAATCTATCTTGTAGGGACATCTTTTAAAGCTAATGAGAGGTGGTTCAGGAAAAATCTGACTTAGTACCTCATCACTTTCAACTATACCCCAGTTTTTTTTGGATGATTCGCCTTATCTGTTGCCTACTGTTGACAATATATCACAACACAACACAACAACACATCACATCACAATATATCACAACACACACTCACTCTCTCTCTCTCTCTCTCTCTCTCTCTCTCTCTCTCTTTCTCTCTCTCTCTCTCTCTCACACACACACACACACAGAGAGGCACAGACAGACAGACACACACAGACAGACAGACAGACACACACAGAGGCACAGACAGACAGACAGACAGACAGACACACACACACACACACACACACACACACACACACACACACACACACACGCACGGTCAGTGGCTGCTGTTGAAACACTTACATGACAAAACACTCCCCAGTTTCAGGCCTCCAACTCACTTTCGCAAAGAAAACTGTGTATTGTTTGTGTGTGTGTATGTTTGTGCTAATGGGCGGAATCAGTTCCGCATTCCTCCTTCAGGGGTCCTTCCTTCGGCTGGTGTGAGCGCTCGAGTGCCGCCTGTCGCTCTGGAAGACGGAACACACAACAGGCTCACTTACATTCTGAACGAAACCGAGAGAAAAACACAATCGCTCTATCAGTATATCAATACATCACATTTATTTCTCTTTTACAATCACGCCCCATATAAATACCTCAACAAAAAAAAACGAACAAAGTTCCGCATTCGTCATCACCGTATTAAAAGCGCTCCGTTTCACTGCCTGTCTCACTTCAAGTATTATTGTGCGCAATTTTCTAATCCTACTATTTTTCTAACAATAACTATTCTCCGTTTTAATCCATGCCGTCGCGAAAGCAGTTTTCTTCAGCGCGATTTCCCTTCAGGCATTAGGTGTCCCAATCGTGCAGGGTGGCAGCTGAAGGACCCCGTGTGTCTGAGGGAGAATCCGCTAATGTGTGTCTGTCACCGCCACTTTATTCAGCTAAATCACATTTCGACACTTTAATTCGACAGGATTTCTCTCATAATCGGACATTAATCGCACAGGCACTCATTTTATATTATATATATTCCTCCGGAGATTCGCGCGATAAACCTCAGGAGAGTCCGAGCGAACATGAGCGCGCCGGAGACTGTGGACCGGGTCGAGCTGTGCGAGAGTCTCCTGACATGGGTGAGTTTAGCTCTCTCTCTCTGATATATATATATATATATATATATATATTATATATATATATATCTGCTGTAAATCTGGCGCTTAATTCGGTTATGATGAGAACTGGAGCTTGACTCTATAATACGGGATTCATTTGTTTACATTTACTTTCTCTCTCTCTCACACACACACACACACACACACACACACACACACACATCAGTGTCGTCATCAGACGGCTGATTGGAGTGTACTGGCAGAACTGTGTTTGAGTGTGAGGAGCGTTCATGACGTCATTCCCATATTCACCAGTTGTGTTGATTTTCAATAATAATGGTTTTAAAAACATCTCCAGTTTCCTCTGGCTGGCGGTGTCACGTGACGTGTGGTTCGGGGCTGTCAGACATGTTTGTGTGTTAGTGTTGTGAGCATCAGCTGTGGTTTCAGATGTGTGTGTGTGTGTGTGTGTGTGTGTGTGTGTGTGTGTGTGTGTGTGTGTGTGTGTGTGTGTGTGTGTGTGTGTGTGTCAGCTGTGGTGTCTGAAGGGAAGCGGCGCTGTGATTTACTGCTGATTTCTGTGCACAGCGTAAAAGCTAAACGTTATGTTATTATAATCTTTCTTTTGCGTGTGATAACTGTGTGCTGTAATCAAGGCACAGTAGAACAGCATTAAAGCCCCGAACCCGCAGAACACGACCCCATATCCACCAGAAACACTGGTTGCAGTCGGTACCCGACCCGTTCAACATAAACACCGCGACTGGGCATGTGCTGGTATCAAATTTTCATGCTGCGATTAATTGATTGAGCTTTTATCACGGTATGGTATTATCGTATAATATACGATATTTTAATTGCACTGGAGAAACGGATGGATTGGGGGTATCTAAAAAAACAACAACTGACATCACAATGTGTAATTGTGATTGTCAAAACATTTGGTAACTAAACAAAATTTTAAGTTTGACGATAACGTTACAATGTTGTCATGTACAATGACTGGTAGGCTGCTTTTATATTATTGCTTAAATTTGATTTCAATCTTGATTCGATATTATATAGATAAGTCGGCATGTTAATTTTTCTCAAGAAAAAATATTGCGCATAATGCTGTAAACATACAGAGAGAAATTTAATATTATGCGGTTTTCATTTGGCCTATAATAACAAATATGAAATGACAAATAAACATATATTAAAATATGTAATATAGTGCACATATTTAGCCAAAGACTCCTCTCTAGCCTATGATGCTAACCCAATCAGCCTGATTAGATCAACAAAAGGCCCAAATGACCTTTGAGATGTGACGAGAGGTTACGAAACCTTGATTACAAAATGGAAAACAGTGTGTGCACTTTCTCAGTTAAATACTGTTGTAGTGGAACCTAAATTAAACATTTAAATAAAAATGTGTAATCCTACACTAGCCTAGCACCAGCAATTAATTGAGCATTGCATTAATCAACACGAGTAAAATAATAAAGGCCTGTTTTAGTAGCTTTAGGAAGCGTAACGCCGGTAAATATTGTATCGTGTTCAGTCGGCGGTTCTGTCTCCTGAAGTTCTGTCCCTGCGCCGGTCCGCTGTGTAGCAGCGCGGGAGATCGGCTAAACCTCTATTCTTAATAGCCGCGAGTCTCGTGAACGCTACACCGCTACTTATCACAGATGTCGGTTCGCCTCGATTGTTCTACGTTTACACTTTTACATTGCACACACTTTAGATCAATTTATTTAAGTTGAGCAGTTTTTTAAATACTTACTTACTGCTACAATCAATATAATTTGTTGTTTGCCTTAATAATGTGGAAAAAAAAATTCTTTGCTTTAAATTCAAACTAAAAAATAAAAAGTTATAAAAAAATGTTAGGCTATCGTGATAATTGTTTTAGCTATCTATGTCACACAGCCCCATATTCACTTACAAAACAGCTGGTTTACAGCGGAATAATATTTCATTCATATTTTTTTTAACAAATGTATGCAGCCTTGGTGAGCAGACGACACTTATTTTATTTTTTATTTTTACTGACCCAAAACTTGTGACTGGTAGTGTGTGTCCCATAAAAGAAAAGAAAATCGCAACTTCAATTTCAAGCCGTGATAATAATAATGTCCCTTTACTACTTTAGTTAAGGCTTTTGCTCGAGTCTCTTCTCTCGGCAGATGTGAAGCGTCTCACACACCCAACACACACATTCCTCTCACACACACACACACACGCTCAGATCAGCTGACGCGCCGTCTTCCTGTTTACGCTCCAGCTGAACCTGTCTGAGTGACATCAGCAGAACCAGATGCTCTTCGTTTCCGGAGACGAGGGCGTGTCTTCCTGAGGAGTTAGCATGAGCGAGTTTAGCCTGATGCTAGTGATGAAATCCACAGCACAATAGGGCTTTGTGTTGATCCTGGACTCTGTGTTTGAACTTGTGCTGCAAACGCCCAGAAAACCCTTCTCCATTGTGGAGACCTGCCGTCCACCAGCAGGTCTTAGTTCAGATTACAGCGCATTAGGCAGACGTGAATGGAGCCTGTGTGTGTAATGGACACTTGAGCTCAGGACACACACACACACTTGAGTTTCCCAACTCGTCATGTGACCTGCGATTACGGCGTTCTTCCCTGTAATGGATCTGAACTGATGAAGCTCAGCCTCTCATTGGCTCTCTGTGTTTCTGTGGTCTCATCTAGAGCCCTAAACAATCACTTTGATTCCTTACAAAGTTTTAATTTTTATGGATTCCATGGATTGTATAATTTTCACGATTTCAATTAATTAGACATGCTTTTTGATTTAAGAGCATCCCAGTTTAATCCTTCTTGACTCTCGAATCAAAAAGCATGTCTAATTAAATGAAATGGTTAAAATTATACAATCTAATAACAGTTTAGTAAAAGTTAATATATTAACAATAATATACAAAAATGACGTTTTCAGGCCCCTGTGAAATATGCTTTATTTTTTATGCTATACTTCCTCAAATTTTGTTTCTCCCCAATGCCATGTTTAACATGCCAATATTTCTGATTCCATTTTAATGGTTTAATAAAATTTTAATGATCAAAAAACAAACATGAAAAACATGCAGACTTCAATAGTATTCTCAGACACTAGTCCATCTGATTAAGTGTTCAGTCCTGATTTAGATTTTTGTTTTTATCCAAAATTTGCCAATTCCTGTGACTTCCGCATTTTACAGTAAATTCCATTTTCATCTCTTTCCGTGACTCGTCTGAAACTGTAAAGGAGTTATCCACAAGTTTCCTACGCCCCATGAGGCCTTGCGTCAAAAGTGGGCGCGACTTCCGGTTGGAAGTAAACAAAGCACGATTTGACATGCTTGACACTCGTTCATTCAACAGTTGACAGTCATTCAAGTTATAGCGATCCAAACTAGCTAACGATGTGGGAACACAACCTCAACGAAATTAAAAAAGGTGAAATAACAGTACCTTTACCCTCCACAGTAGTTGATTGGGAGTATTATAATAACATTATTAATAATCAATACTCATCAAGGCATGGTGACAGACAGATGTGCGAGCTGACAAACAATTAAAATAAAAAATACACACTTAGTCATTGTGCTTTGGAGTTTATTCAAAATTATAAATGAATGTGCTGCTTGAATACATTAACTGGCACATTTGGTATTCTGTCAACACAGGCTTTGATCCTGAGTTTAGGTGTAACATCAGTAGAGAACAGCCAAACACATGCTGATAAAAGTTTATAGAATATTAAGAATTTAAACAAATGTACACAGGAAGATTCGTCGTCTTTTGGGAGGTGATGGAAACTACAGTCGTTGGCAGGAACACTCTGATTTTGTTTTCAGCTTATGTTCAAAACAATCACGTTTAAGCCACTGAACTAGTTTAGTCCGGTTATACATACAACCGCGAACAGCACATGTTGTCCCTGAGCTCCGTAACGACATCTCTCATAAAGATTTGCGTCTTTAAATAGTAAAATAATTCTCCGAAAAACAGCTAGCCTCTTCGCTAACTAACACACAAAATACCATTGGAATGCTACTTCCGCCGCGTCACCGGAAGTTTCACCCACTTTATTTTTTACAGGAGCGCCCCTCGGAAACTTGTGGATTACCGCATTCGGTTTGAAACGACCGGTATCTAAAAGTATTTTCTATATAAAATGTATTTTGCTACATTTTTCTAAATGTCATCATAATCGTTTGTTAACAAACAAATATTCATTATTTCTATGAGCTCACAGTTTCTGCCTTAAATGATTAATTTGTTTAAATGAGTACATCTAGCTGTGATTTCGCATAACTCAGTCCCTCTGATACAGATCTCTGTAAACTGAAATGTGGACTCGAGCGTTTCTGTAAAGCTGCTTTGAAACGATGTGTACTGTGAAAATCTCTATATAAATAAATGTGAATTGAATGAATATGAATTCAGACGGATACGGGTCTGCTGTTTTTCACACACTATCAGTGAACTACAGGAAGTGATGCGTTGTGTTTCTCTGATCCCCTGTCGCTGTGTGTGTGTCCAGATCCAGACGTTTGGCGTGGAGGCGGCGTGTTCGACCGTAGACGAGCTGACCGGTGGCCTGGCCATGGCACAAGTCCTGCAGAAGATGTGTGTGAGCCAGCACAATCTGAGCCCTTTCATTTCATCCTAACGATGTCACAAACGATGTTTCTGTGTGGTTTTAAGATTATGGTGCCAAAACAATTTGTTGCATTGAAATTTCATAAAATTGCAACGATCAAATGTAGAAATCGATCACTGCGTAGTCATTGCTGTATGAAATAAATACACCTCAACGTTTATTACAGTTATACATTATTTTGATATATATTTAGTCAGGAGCAGTGAGTGATTTTCTCTCAGTTTTTAGTTGTTTGATTAACATTAATGACAGGTTTATTAGGCTTCTGTCACTTTAAGACCGGATGTACAGGTCCAATACACTGACACACACCCAACTGTTTACGTTCGTCACTTCGTCACTACGTTCGTCACATTCAACCACAATAAACTGGGAAAAAGAACCCAGTTCAGTTCTTCCACACTGATTACAGTCTCTATATCTAGAGCTTATGATGTCTACAGATATATCCCTTATGATGAACCCATGTGTGTGTCTCTCTCTCAGTGATGTTGTGTATTTCACGGATGCTTGGATCAGTCGTATTAAAGCTGATGTCGGAGACAACTGGAGGTTAAAGGTATTCATCAGCTCTCGTTCACACACACTTCTTCACTTCTTAGCTTTCATGTTTTCTTCTCTTCTTTTTCATTTTCAGATCAGCAATTTAAAGAAAATATTGAAAGGTATTCTGGATTACAACCATGAGGTGAGACGCTTATTTCTGTGTGACACGTTTATGTTGGTGTATGTCACATTATTTTCTCTTGAATTGACCCATATGTGTGTGTGTGTGTTGTTGGTTCTGCAGATATTGGGGCAACAGATCAATGATTTCACTCTTCCAGACGTCGGTCTCATCGCCGAACACTCAGATGCAGCAGAACTGGGCCGAATGTTGCAGCTCATCCTGGGCTGTGCTGTTAACTGCGAACAGAAGCAGGGTAAAGTGTGTGTGTGTGTGTGTGTGTGTGTGTGAGTGTGTGTATGTGTAAGAGTGTGATGCTGACGTTGTGTTGTGATCTTTTTTCCAGAATATATCCAGACCATCATGATGATGGAAGAGTCTGTGCAGCATGTGGTCATGACCGCCATCCAAGAGGTGTGTGTGTGTGTGTGTGTGTGTGTTACAGGCTGCTGTTTGGTGTTTAACGTGTGTATGATGTTGTGTGCAGCTCATGAGTAAAGAGACGCCCGTGTCCTCAGGAAACGACTCGTATGCGGATCTGGACCGACAGGTATGGTCAGTCTGCATCTGGGTTATGAATATTAATGATGATGATCCAGCATTATGAGTGTTTTCCTCTTCATCAGCTGAAGAAGATGGTGGAGGAGCTCAGCGACGCTCTGGCCACCAAAGAGGAGATCGCTCAGAGATGCCATGAGCTCGACATGCAGGTAAAGCTCATCCGTCACACACACACACACTCGTCTCTCGGATGCTCTGCTCTTCAGCGGGTCAGATGTTAGTGACTGTAACGGGTCCAGTGATGATGATGATGGCGACGTAACTGGTGTGCGCTGGATTGCGTTGTTAATCTGGAAAATGTCAGGAAAGGTTCTTCTTGGTGACGAAAAGCAACGACACACTTGATCAAACCTGCACATCGGTCCGAGATGAGTGTGTTACGTCAGCTGGAAACACTGGCAACAGAACGTGCTCAAAGTGTGTGTGTGTGTGTGTGTGTGTGTGTGTGTGTGTTTCATCAGCTGGAAACACTGTCCACAGAAAGCACTCAAATCACACTGAGCTTCTGGTGTTGTCGATGAACAGTGTGTAGATATGAGTGTGTAGATGAGAGTAGAAGTGTTTCTGAATGCCAGTTTGATGTTGTGTGTTTTCTCAGCTTACTGATGCGCTAACACAGGTGTATGCACTATAGGAACCTAATTTTCCTAACGTACTAATCTGTAATAAGTGAATGTCATTTCATTTTAATAAAAAAAGATCTTATTGCGCTCGCTGGCGCCCTCTGGTGGACACAGGAGACAATACAGCACTCGGATCCTCTGACAGACGAGGACAAAATGAACCCTTGGTCTAATAACACTACCTAGTCCGTTCTCTGAGATTTGTTTTCATGATAATCGAATGTAAAGAGTTTTATCTCTAAAAACTGTTTAGCGTATAATGCTAGTATAAAGAGCATAGTAATCAAAAAATGAAAATCGCTAGTGCTCAAAATAGCCCCACACTGACGGTAACATAATGAGGGTCCCTACATCCAAACCAAAGCATTGGTTGACTTGGTACCAATGTGTTATTAGACCAAAGGTTCGTTTTGCACCAGAATATTGCCTTATTTGATTAGCGGTGTAACGATACGATACCCTCAAGTCACGATTCGACACACGTCACGACACTGAACTCACCATACCATATTATCCCCATACTCCAAGACACATAGAAGGTGAACAAAAAATGTACTGTTGATTAAAATGCTCAGTTTTATATTATCGTGTGTGTGTAAATAAACAGGCTTTAAGACTCCAAAACGATAGAGACGCCAGAATAACAATATTCATGATTCTGAAGATGAAAACACTGAGTTTAGTCATTTAGTATTTATGCCATTTTGACAGCCCTAATACTGACTGTGTGTGTGTGTGTGTGTGTGTGTGTGCTCCTCTGCCTTGCTTCCGAAGGCGTACCTCGTCCAAGAGGAGCGAGATAGACTGAGGTTAGAGTGTGTTGATCTAGACGAGAGGGTAAATGTGTCTCTTTTCTTCTGCTCTCGCTGCTGTCTGCTTGATAACATCCCTGAGTAGTGTGCAGGGCCTTTAAGTGTGTGTGTGTGTGTGCACTCACCCCATAGGCTGATCCTCAGTCATGTGACACTCGGCACATCCAATCAGCTGTTGACTGTAGCGCTTCATATCTTGTACACATGGATGATGGATCCATCCTGCAGCAAACGACCCAAAGTTCAGTCTGTGTGTGTGACGCTGAACAAGTGACCCGCTGCTTCGTATGTGTCAGACGCCGCATGACGCCTATTTATTATTCAGTTTAAGACATACGTCTGTCCGTCTGCTTTAAAAGCATAGATCCATTTAGAGAATAACCCTGTTTTAATTTGACTGAAAACATGCTCTGATAGCAAATAAATGAAGAGTTCAGATGCAAAAGCCTCTAAGTGCCATTTGAAATTTTCTTCTAGAATGATCATTTTTATCAAGCTTGTATATTTAAGTTCAGAGATTTCACTTAAATGGCAATGCTAATTACCTATTAATTGTTATTTAAGTGAAATTACTGAACTTAAATATTCAAGTTTGATAAAAATCATCATTAAAGAAGAAAATTTCAAATGGCATTTAGAGGCTTTTGCATCTGAACTCTTCAAATATTGAAGTAGATCTTTAACCTGCCCGAGCTGAACTGAGATTATTGTAGTTAGAGCTAATGAAGTATTGCAGATTATAGAAAAGTTTCCTGTAAAACAAATGTGCTAAACCTTTTATATACAAAATCTATATTTTACTAAATAATCTGAACTCTACAATTGTTTTAAAATCTGATTTGAAGTTGATATCACAAAGATGTAGCCACTAAAAGTAGCTTTTCCATAGTAATGCAGTGTCCAGTGTTTATAAGCGTTCGAATGATGCCTCCTGATGATTATTACTAATATACACTATATTGCCAAAAGTGTTGTGACGTCTGCCTTTACTTGCACATGAACTGTAATGTGTGGTGAACCTTTTCTTCTAAAGTGAGGCGGAGACCAGGAACCTCGGCTGCATCTTTTTAAGCAGGACTCTTTGTTGCTGTTGCATTGCTGGAGTCGGCTGCGTCCAAAAATCTTAGCCAAGTCTAAACTAAGGGAAAATTTACCATAACCCCCCTCCACCGAACAACCCCACGCCATAACCCCACGCCATAACCCCACACCATAACCCCACGCCATAACCCCACACCATAACCCCACACCATAACCCCCCTCCACCGAACAACCCCACGCCATAACCCCACGCCATAACCCCACGCCATAACCCCCCTCCACCGAACAACCCCACACCATAACCCCACGCCATAACCCCACACCATAACCCCACGCCATAACCCCACGCCATAACCCCACGCCATAACCCCACGCCATAACCCCCCGCCATAACCACCCGCTTTGGGGTTTACATGGCGTAACACTTTGTGGCTGAGCTGCTGTTGTTCCCTGAGAGCGACCTGTTCCTTCACACACGTCTGCATGCCTAGTGCTGGATTTATACAACTGAGGCTAATTTATACAAGCCATTGAACACCTGAATTCAATGACTTAGAGGCGTTTCCCAATTTTTTTGGCAATATAGTGTATGTTATAAAGGCAATAAAGTGCATCACACTGACAGTCACATAGGTATTGACTCCACATTATCCTGTCTTTAACTCTGTGTGTGTGTGTGTGTGTGTGTGTGTGTGTGTGTGTGTGTGTGTGTGTGTGTGTGTGTGTGTGTGTGTGTGTGCAGGTGGCAGCTCTGCAGGAGGAGAAGAGCAGTCTGCTGGCTGAGAACCAGGTGCTGATGGAGCGGCTCAACCAGTCGGACTCCATCGAGGATCTGAACAGCCCGGCGGGCCGCAGACACTTACAGCTTCAGACTCAGATGGAGCAGCTGCAGGAGGAGACCTTCAGGTGAACACACACACACACACACAGGACATCAGTTAGGCCGAACGCATGGTTACATCACCACAACACACACTCCAGTAGCTTAAACAGGGTTTCCGCGAGCCTTAAAAGGGTCTTAAAGTCTTAATTTGCACTTTCCCAAATGAAGGCCTTAATAGAGCCCGTCATGAATCTCGGACTTTTCTCGTATGTAACTGCTATAATCGGGTCCCAGTTCCTGTGTTCTGGTGAGTCTTTCTCTACAAGCATGTCAAACAATAAAGCGATCAGATTTCTCTCCTCCTGGCGTGTGAAGAGGATCTTATTATAATATAATTAATCGGCCCTTAATCTGCACGTTCACACACACACACACACACACACACATTGGGTTGGGCGACGCCAACAGAGCCCAGTTCTAACGCACTGGAGAAGGTCCAGCTGAGCCTGAAACTGTTCTGAGGTCAGCACAGACGACACTGAACACTATTGAGCAGAACATGTGATTACCGCTGTCTTATAAACACTGTCTCAGGAACTGTGGACACTTGTGGAAGAGTTCAACATGATGATGAGATGATCAGTGTGACTCCACAACAACTACACAAACGTCTCCGCTAACATTCAGAAGCGTGTAACAGTGCAGCTCTCCCTGAGTCTCTCTGGAAGGCGGAGCTAAAGCTGCTGTTACTCCTGATCCTGGATCAGTCAGATCTGCCTGTGCTGTTATTGCCGGAGTCTTTGAAGCTTGTGTGAAGGCCCCGCCCTCTTCTAAACTCTAGCTCATTTGCATTTAAAGGGACACACACACAAACGGCGTGTTTTTGCATTTATTTGATCAAAAATACAGATAAATATTATTATCTGTTCTCCATGTGAATATACAGTAAAGTCATTTATTCCTGAATTTATCATCATTACTCCAGTCTTCAGTGTCACATGATCCTCCAGAAATCACTCTAATATGAGGATCTGATGATCAACACACAGTTATGATTATTAACAATGTTCTAAAAACAGTTCAGATTTTTGTGGAAACTGTATTTGATTTTGTGTGTGTGTGTGTGTGTGTGTGTCAGACTGGAGGCAGCTAAGGACGATTACCGCATCCGCTGTGAGGAACTGGAGAAGGAGCTGCTGGAGGTCAGAGGTCAGAACGAGGAGTTGACCTCTCTGGCTGAGGAGGCACAGTCGCTCAAGGACGAGATGGATGTGCTGAGGTGAGACATACACATCTGAGCTGACACACACACACCTGGGGCGAGACACACCTAAACACACACACCTAAGCTGACACGCATACCTGAGCTGGTACACACCTGAAACACTCCTGAGGTGATACACACACCTGAGCTGACACACACACACACCTGAGCTGACACACACACACACACACACACTTTGGGTCGACCAACCAGCAACCTTCCCGTCTCTCTCTTGAATCCAACACTGAAGTGATTAACCTGCAGTTCCTCCACGGGCCACTAGAGGCGCTGCAGAAGAGACTCACTCCCACAGACCCGCATGTGAATATGCCCAAATTTACAGCACCAATAAGATGGCGACGGCCGGCTCCGCCCATTTTGGGCTTCAGAAACACTACAGGTGATGTCACACACACTACACAAACTGGCGGTTATGGTTAACACACTCGAAGTGCTCGACCAATCACAACACACTGCTCCAGCCGACCTATCAGAGCACAGTGTGCTTTTCAGGAGGAGGGGCTTCATAGAGACAGGAAGTAAACAGAGCGTTACTGACAGACTGGGAAGAGAGGAGCCGCAACAATGGAGAATATGAGGAGAATAATCAACATTCAAGCAGTCTGTGTGTGTGTATCCCGCTCAGGATGGCCTCTGACCTGTGTGTGTGTTTCAGGCACTCGTCTGACAGGGTGTCGAAGCTGGAGGCGCAGGTGGAGGCGTATAAGAAGAAGCTGGAGGATCTGGGAGACCTGAGACGACAGGTGAAGCTCCTGGAGGAGAAGAACACCAGTTACATGCAGAACACACACTCTCTGGAGGAGGAGCTGCGCAAGGCTAACACCGCTCGCGCTCAGCTGGAGACCTACAAGAGACAGGTGTGACACACACACACACACACACTGCATATGGTTTTAATATATCGCATAGCCTTAGAAAACGATGTAATAATGAACGTCCGCTTCCGGTGTGTTAGCGGTGACTCGCCGCGGGTAACCTGCAGTGGAGGATCAACATGACATCATGACTTTTGCATAAACATACATGCCACTTTCGAGTCAAGTGGTGTGTTATCTCTACGCATTTTGAGCTATCCGCGTGTATGCGTGTTTGTCTACGCCATTAACGTCTGAGTGATTCTGCGTGTCTGTACCTGTCGTCAAATGTCCGCGCAAAACGAAGCAAAATGTAGATCTACATCTGGGGAGCGATCTTTGTTTTTCCTAGGATGGTGAGGGAACAGTCATAAATGCCATTAACTCCAGTGACCGGTAGGCCGTGTGTCCACCAAAGCGTTTCTATCCAGCTGAAAATGCTGAAGACGTCGTGCTTTGGGCGCTTGAGGGCGTTTTGGCAGCGCAGCGTTTTTCCGTTGAGACGTTTCGTTGCTATGATACAAAATATCCGCAGCAGTTTGAATGTTGTGACAGTTGGTCGGTGTGTTATTAGTCCCGCCCCTCCTCCACTGTGATTGGACGGCTGGGTAAAAAGTGACAATGATGAGCGCTGCGTTTTATCCAAAGTTGAACATTTTTCAACTCCCAGCGACCAGTAAAAAACGGCGGGCGCTTCAGCGTGAAAAAAACGCTCAGCGCCTCGGTTCGCTCATGGCGTTTAAAAAACGCGGCGCTCCGATTGAAAACAATTGAAAACATACGCCAGGCGCGTGGAAAAACGCTTTGGTGGACACACGGCCTTAGGTTTAGGTTAATAACGTTGAGTCAACGGCGTTCATAAACACGCTGAAAAGCGATTATGCATCTTGATGGCACGCCAAAAATGGAAATACGAATTGGCGTGTCATACACACGTTACTTCATGAGATCAGTCTGGGAGGATCGTTCAAGCGGAGTTGTGCACTGCAAACGAGGAATCGGGACGCCCTGATTACAGGATGACTTTACACGACTGCAGGCGTGTGTGTATCGTGCAGCTCTTAAAGCCACTATCCCACCATCTCTATAATAACACTGATCGTGTGTGTGTGTGTGTGTGTCAGGTGGTGGAGCTGCAGAACAAGCTGTCCGAGGAGTCCAAGAAAGCAGACAAGATGGAGTTTGAGTATAAACGAGTGAAGGAGAAAGTCGACTCGCTCCAGAAGGAGAAAGACGTAAGAGAGTCTGTTGTGTTTGTACTCTATATATTCCCTCTTGTTATTTGAGTCCTCATCATCCTCAGCTCCGGTCTTCCTCAGTGAGCAGTGACGTTTATTCATGTAGCACTTCATACAGCTCTGAGTGTGTGTGTGTGTGTGTGTGTGTGTAGCGGATGAGGACGGAGCGAGACTCTCTGAAGGAGACGATCGAGGAGCTGAACTGTGTGAAAGCGCAGGAGTCTCAGCTGACCTCAGGTGACACACACTCACTCTTATATTGACGTCCCTCCGATTCCACGAGTTTGTGGTTGAAATTGAAGTAATGTGCTGAAATTATTATTTATTTATTATGTATTGATCAAATCTAGTCATTTAAAGATAAATAAAGTAAAAAATAACAAAAAATCTCCAAAGAAATGTACACATTTTTATCAAAAAGAAATAAAATGAGCTTAGTTTCTGGACAACAAATACATTTTAGGGCTTCAGGTGATTTTGACCCGCGAGGGACGGATGAGGGTTAAGGATATACAGTGTGTGTGTGTGTATATAACCGATGTGCAGTGTGTCGTGTGTGATCACTGGGGTTTCCTCAGGCTTGGTGCCGCTGGGCAGTAACGAGCCGTCTGATTCGCTGGCTGCAGAGATCGTCACACCAGAGATTCGGTATGTGATACTGTCTAATACACTATATCAAATTAATACATTATATGCATACACTATATGAAATATACTATATCAAATGAATACACTATATGAATACACTATATGTAATACACTATATGAAATACACTATATGAAATACACTATATGAAATACACTATATGAAATACACTATATGAACACTGTAAACGCATGAAAGACTCCAGCAGCTCAGACTGTATCTTTATTGTGCTTTACTCTAACTGCTGCATTTTGTGTGTCCATGTGTGTGTGCCCGTACCTGTGTGTGTGTGTGTGTGTGTGTGTGTGTGTGTGTGCCCGCAGCGAGCGCATGATCCGCCTGCAGCATGAGAACAGGATGCTGAAGCTGGCGCAGGAGGGCTCAGATAACGAGCAGATCGCGCTCCTGCAGAGTTTACTGGAGGACTCCAACAGCCGGAAGAACGAGCTGGAGACGGAGAACAGGTGCAGGACACACACACACACACACACACACTCATGACCACACCAACATCAGCGGTGGCGCTGTCCCTCAGGCGGGGCGGGATCGCAGCGTTCACTAGTCGACTGTAATCTAATGCTAACGCTACACTTACAGTCTTATATACACTGAGTTTTTAAATCAATGCTTTGCTAAATTTACAGACTGTGGACTTACAGACTTACAGTCGTGAGAAGGGTCCGTTCCCGCACAGCTCTTTATATGATCTATATCAGCGCCTCCCGCTTTTTCACGTCAGTTTGGGTGACTCGTGTGAATCCAGCAGATCCGAAGTGGGAGTGTGTCTAGCTCGTGGCCTGATTGGCGGCAGCTCGTCACGCTCACTGTGCAGAAACGCGCCCGCGCGAGGATGGCATCGCGCATGTATACTGTTTTTTGCCCTCGTATCCTGTGCGCGAGTTTTGAGACTAAATAAACGCCGTAGGGCCGTTCACATATTGTGTCGGGAAAATCGGACCGAATTTTACTATTAATAATAAAAGATAAGCTAATGTGCATTCATGTAAATGTCAAGTAATTAATTTTTTTGACTCATTCTTTTTATAAAAATGATTTAAAGGCTGAAGCATATTTATTATGTGCCCCGGGGTCGGCAGGGGTCGTGGCGATGGAAGTTTCTGGATATTCCCGCGGGCGAGGGCTTCGATTATCTCTCTCTCTTTAAAGCGAGTATATAGTACATCACAACTGCTTATTGTTTATTTAGTCTCAACTATTGTCATCCAGCTCTAATCTAAAAAACACACACACAAATACTCACTCTGACACACAGACACACACACACATACTCACACAGACACACACACTCATACTCACATTTAGACACACACACACACACACACTCACTCAGACACACACACAGTGTTACAGGTGTAATGAATGAACTGAACTGTGACCTGAACTGAAGTGTGTGTGTGTGTGTGTGTCTCAGGCTGGCCAATCAGAGGCTGCTGGCGGGTCAGTCTCAGGTGGAGGAGCTGCAGAAAACTCTTCAGGAACACGGATCCAAAGCGGATGATGTGAGTCCCGCACTTTATGACATCATCATCAACATCATCACTCCTGCTGTGGATCTGATTGGCTGTGGTGCAGCCGAAAGCACAAGCTCATCATTCACACACACACACACACAAGCCCATCGTAACTTATCTCAGTTTTAAGTTTAACATGTTTTGAACCGTTATAGTTCCCGTCACGGATAACCCTGATACACACTGACCTCTGTAGCGGCTCATCACGTGTGTGTCGCACTAACGCCTGCTGTGTGTGTGTGTGTGTGTACTAACATCTCTCTTCACTGTGATGTCACTCATGATGTAGCATGATCCAGGCCTGCCATTGGTCGTCCTGCTGAGTGATGCCTTCGTCATCATCATCATTATCATCAGAAGCACATGTGTGTCTGTTACTTTAGTCTGGCCGTCTGCTTCATTGATCGTCATCCGTGTGTGTGTGTGTGTGTGTGTGTGTGTGACAGGCGTCTGTTGACTCCGCTCTGCCGTCCTCTCTCTCTCCGTCTGCTGTGAGTACACTCCAGGCATTCTGCTGCTTGATTGTTGTGTGTGTCCCACTGGATCGCATGCGCATCTCAGACACGCGTGTGTCACGCGCCGCATCATCAGCCCCGTGACCCGAGCATGATGGTCCGCCCAGACGGAGCGCTCCTGCTGAGTGTTGGTTCTGCTCTGGTCTTGAAGGTGTTTCTCGTCCTGCATCTTCGGTTCTGGAGTGACTCCTGTTTGCATGTTAGCGCTCCGCGTTTGCTAGCCTCAAAGGGATAGTCAGTTCATTTCTGTAATTATGCCGACCGCTGATCTACAGTGTGTGTGTGTGTTGGGGGGGGGGGGGGGGGGGGGGGTTGGGAGGGGGGGGGGTGGTCAGCGCCCTCTGCTGGCCCACAGCTCTCGAACACACACTCCTCAGTGAGCCTGCAGTGTGTGTGTGTGTCCAGCAGGGGGCGCTGTGGTTTCACATGAGCTGTAATCCTGAGTTTCACATCTTCTGTTTCAGACGGTCTTGATGAAGAGGAAGTGTCAGGAGCACCTGTGAGTATCCGCCGGTGCTGCTCATGTTCCTCACGGCCAGTTCATCATGTGACTGAGTGTGTGTGTGTGTGTGTGTTCTTGTTTAGAGAGAGACTCCGGGACGCCACTAACGAGCTGCAGAAGAAGAGCTCCGAGATCGAAGAGCTGGAGAACAAACACAGTTCCAGCGGTGAGACTCCACACATCACACACACTCTCGCTCAGTGTGTGTGTGTGTACTGCAGATGGTGTAACGAGTGTGTGTGTTGCTGGTTTCAGCTCAGAGGATTGAGGATCTGGAGGACGCGCTGAAGAAGAAAGATGAAGATATGAAGCAGATGGAGGAGAGATACAAGAAATACCTGGAGAAGGCCAAGAGTGTACGTGTGTGTGAGTGTGTGCGCGCGTGTGTGTGTATTTGTGAGTGAGTGTGATGCTAATGTTGTGTGTGTGTGCAGGTCATCCGTACGCTGGACCCCAAACAGAATCAAGGTTCTGCTCCTGAAGTTCAAGCCCTGAAGAACCAGTTGCAGGAGCGCGAGAGGATGCTGCACTCACTCGAGGTCACACACACACACACACTCACTCACTCGAGGTCACACACACACACTCTCACACACACACTCACTCGAGGTCACGCACACTCTCACACGCACCCACACACACAAACGCACACTCTCTATCGCACTCTGCCCTCACACACACACAAACTTATTCTCTCACACACACACATGCTGTTATGTGACTACTGTGTGTGTGTTTGCAGAAGGAGTATGACAAGACGAAGTCTCAGAGAGACCAGGAGGAGAAACTCATCGTGTCTGCCTGGTACAACATGGTGTGTGTCACACTCTCTCTCACCGCAACACTCTCTGGAACACACACTCTAGTCTAGAGTCACCAGAACACCTAATATAACTAATATAGAAGTAATGATAATATGTGTGTGTGTGTGTGTGTGTGTTTTAGGGAATGGCTCTGCAGAAGAAGGCGGCTGAGGACCGGTTGGCCGGCACCGGGTCGGGTCAGTCGTTCCTGGCCCGGCAGAGACAGGCCACCAGCACCAGACGAGCCTATCCGGGTCACGGCCAGCCCACGGCAGCCAGGTAGAGCATCGCCACGGCAACCTCAGCTCAGCCAATCAGGACCCGCCTCCATCCCATAATGCCCTCTGATGAACCCGGGTCTCTGGACGTTCCTTAATTACATCAGCATTAATTAACCTACACACTCCTGAACGAGCGTGTCATTTCCCGTCGGACTCCTCTGTTTAACGGAGGCTTTGCAGTATTTTAAGGGTGTTTGTTCCTGACGCACCAAAAAAGTTGGAGTGTGTGTATTAGTCTTTATATCCTGTCATCTTTATCTTCTGTTCATATCTATGCATTGAAAGAGCTGAATGTGTGTATCTCGTGTCGGTCGTTTAAAGGCGCTTCATGACTTTGTTCTTCCTGTTTTTTGTTTAGTTGATTATTCCCGATGCCTTAAAACACTCAAGCTGCTGTCAATCACTGTCACTCGAGTCGCACGTTCTTCACTCATGCTAAGCATGATGATCTTCCTCAGAACTCTCGTTAACATCTCCCGTCGTTAATATCTCCAGTAAACGTGTCTTGATTTAAGAATGGAATGTTTAGATAAAAAAAGTCGCAATTATCTTTTAAAAAGTTTTATTCTGTGGTGGAAACAAGCTTGTATAGATATTTGTTCTTGTTTTAATCATAAACTCACTCAATTACGATACATTTTCCACCAAAAAAGTTTTTAAATCGTCAGTCGTTTCGCTGCTTCTGCACTAAATGTATCTTGATGTAAGAATGTTTAGATATTTAGATAGCTGAGGAACAACATGATGTTTGCAGGTTTTCTTCACGATCATGAACCGCGACTCTAGTGACGCTAGACTGAATCTGTGACTGACACCTGTCAATCTCTCTCTTTCACAGTGATGTTAAAGCATGAGCGGCAGGGGGCGGGGCTGCATGACATCAGGGGGCGGGGCTTGCATGATTGACAGTTTAACCCATCGCTGCACACTAACTAACCCATCAGCGCCCGTGTGCTATCCCAGAATGCACTGGTCAGAAGTGGGCGGGGCCGACACATACTGGTAAAGACGGATGAATTCCATCATCAAGCCCTGATGTTCCTCACTCATGTTTAGATGCATCGATCATTCTTCCAGTATCTCCTGTAGTGTATGAGCCGCACGAGCGAGCGAGCTGGTGTTTCCAGCAGGATCGTGTGTGTGTGACGGAGATGAGCGTGTCTGTGACTGATCAGGATCGGTGTGTGTGTGACTGAGATGAGCGTATCTGTTACTGATCAGGATCGGTGTGTGTGTGTGGCGGAGATGAGCGTATCTCTTACTGATCAGGATCGGTGTGTGTGTGTGACGGAGATGAGCGTGTATGTTACTGATCAGGATCGGTGTGTGTGTGTGGCGGAGATGAGCGTATCTCTTACTGATCAGGATCGGTGTGTGTGTGACGGAGATGAGCGTGTATGTGACTGATCAGGATCGGTGTGTGTGTGACGGAGATGAGCGTGTCTGTGACTGATCAGGATCGGTGTGTGTGTGTGGCGGAGATGAGCGTGTCTGTGACTGATCAGGATCGGTGTGTGTGTGTGGCGGAGATGAGCGTATCTGTGACTGATCAGGATCGGTGTGTGTGTGTGGCGGAGATGAGCGTATCTGTTACTGATCAGGATCGGTGTGTGTGTGTGGCGGAGATGAGCGTATCTGTTACTGATCAGGATCAATGTGTGTGTGTGTGTGTGTGTGTGTGTGTGACGGAGTAAGCGTATCTGTTACTGAGCAGGATCGGTGTGTGTGTGTGACGGAGATGAGCGTGTCTGTGACTGATCAGGATCGGTTGTGTGTGACGGAGATGAGCATATCTGTCACTGATCAGGATCGGTGTGTGTGTGTGTGTGTGTGTGACGGAGATGAGCATATCTGTTACTGATCAGGATTGTGTGTGTGTGTGTGTGTGTGTGACAGAGATGAGGGTGTCTGTGACTGATCAGGATCAGTGTGTGTGTGTGGCGGAGATGAGCGTATCTGTTACTGATCAGGATTGGTGTGTGTGTGATGGAGATGAGTGTATCTGTGACTGATCAGGATCGGTGTGTGTGTGACGGAGATGAGCGTGTCTGTGACTGATCAGGATCGGTGTGTGTGTGACGAGATGAGCGTATCTGTTACTGATCAGGATCAGTGTGTGTGTGTGTGTGTGTGTGTGACAGAGATGAGGGTGTCTGTGACTGATCAGGATCAGTGTGTGTGTGTGGCGGAGATGAGCGTATCTGTTACTGATCAGGATTGGTGTGTGTGTGATGGAGATGAGTGTATCTGTGACTGATCAGGATCGGTGTGTGTGTGACAAGATGAGCGTATCTGTTACTGATCAGGATCAGTGTGTGTGTGTGGCGGAGATGAGCGTATCTGTTACTGATCAGGATCGGTGTGTGTGTGTGTGTGACGGAGTGAGCGTATCTGTTACTGAGCAGGATCGGTGTGTGTGTGACGGAGATGAGCGTGTATGTGACTGATCAGGATCTGTGTGTGTAACGGAGATGAGCGTGTATGTGACTGATCAGGATCGGTGTGTGTGTGACGAGATGAGCGTATCTGTGACTGATCAGGATCTGTGTGTGTAACGGAGATGAGTGTGTATGTGACTGATCAGGATCGGTGTGTGTGTGACGAGATGAGCGTATCTGTGACTGATCAGAATCGGTGAGTGTGTGTGTGTGTGACGGAGATGAGCGTGTCTGTGACTGATCAGGATTGGTGTGTGTGTGACGGAGATGAGCGTGTCTGTGACTGATCAGAATCGGTGAGTGTGTGTGTGTGTGATGGAGATGAGGGTGTCTGTTACTGATAGTGTTGCTCTCGCTTCTCTTCTATTTATTTGATGCTGAATCAGTAAGTGCTTTTGATGATTCTGACACGGCAGTGACACTTGCACTGCTTCCTTCATCAGCTGTTGCTTCATTATCACGTGGCGCGATCATGTCTGCGGTCGACGTCTGCTTTAGTGTCGCTGTAACCGGCGATGGATGATTGAATGTTTGAGGCTTCCTGATCACTGTGGACTGAGTTCAGAGGTCAAGCGTCTCTCACAGCCGTCCATGAGCAGAGGAACGCCTCAAACGCGGGACACGTGATGCACTGCAGTCGTGAGTGTGTGACTGCGGTGCGAGTGTGTGTTCATCAGAACTGATATCTGAAGTAGCAAACATTTGTTACATTTGCCAAGTTTTATATTGCTTGTATACAATATGTCTGTATGTGTGCGCCGCTGGAGCGTTCAGCGGGCCGATGCGTGTCATACGCGTCTCCGCTGATGAACCTGTGCTTCCAACGCTGCAAACCTGTACAGTTGATATTCAAGTTGTAAATAAAGCTTGTATAAAACATTCATGTTTCAAACTCACGGCTGTTCTTTGTTTTATTTGGCTTTTGGATCTACTTTTGTTCTCCTTACGCAGGGATGCTCATCACACTTTCATTTCTGTTTGAGTTTAAATGTGCGTCAGATCGGCGTGTCAACTAAAGCTACATAACTTCTGATCATGTTTCTGCAGCTTCACGTCTCCTTATGTTCTTCATCATGTTCATCTTCATCTATAGGGCGCAAGCGTTGGCCGAACATTTGTTACAACAAAGAAAGTCAGAATCAGAGAACATGAGCTCAGACTTTTAACCTGGAAATTTCCAGAAACTCATTTGATTGTGTTTGCCCGTCCGATCAGACGAGGATCAAACATGTAAAACACCACCTCCTGCTCTTCCTCAGGCTCTAGCGTTTATATCATCCTTCTTCCTCTTTTTTGCTCGCGCTGTTGAACATCGAATTACTTGGAAACTTAAAAGCTAAGGTTTGTGTTTATCAAAGGAAGATCCGAAGTCAATGGAAGCTTGCAATTCTGACTATATCTTGCAATTCTGACTATATCACAATTTTGACTATATCTCGCAATTTTTACTTTATATCTTGCAATTCTGACTATATCTCGCAATTCTGACTTTATATCTCGCAATTCTGACTTTATATCTTGCAATTCTGACTATATCACAATTTTGACTATATCTCGCAATTTTTACTTTATATCTTGCAATTCTGACTATATCACAATTTTGACTATATCTCGCAATTCTGACTTTATATCACGCAATTCTGACTTTATATCACGCAATTTTGACCTTATATCTCGCAATTCTGACTTTATATCTCGCAATTCTGACTATATCTCGCAATTCTGACTTTATATCTTGCAATTCTGACTATATCACAATTTTGACTATATCTCGCAATTTTTACTTTATATCTTGCAATTCTGACTATATCTCGCAATTCTGACTTTATATCTTGCAATTCTGACTATATCACAATTTTGACTATATCTCGCAATTTTTACTTTATATCTTGCAATTCTGACTATATCACAATTTTGACTATATCTCGCAATTCTGACTTTATATCACGCAATTCTGACTTTATATCACGCAATTTTGACCTTATATCTCGCAATTCTGACATTATATCTCGCAATTCTGACTTTATATCACGCTATTTTGACCTTATATCTCGCAATTCTGACATTATATCTTGCAATTCTGACTATATCTCGCAATTACAACTTTATATCTCGCAATTCTGACAATATCTTGCAATTCTGACTTTATAATCAGGCAATTGCGACTATATCTCGCAATTCTGACTATATCAGGCAATTCTGACTATCTTGTAATCGCGACATATCTCACAATTCTGACTATATCTCGCAATTCTGACTTTATTACTCACAATTGCTACTTTATATCGTTCGAGATAAATAAAAGCATGCAATTCTGAGAAATAAATTCAGAATAGTTTTTTATTCTGTGGTGGAAACAAGCTTCCATAGAAATCCGACATTCAGCATGTGATCCTGCCACCATCAATACAATTAAAGGTGAATAGAGAAAAAAATCCTCGTCTATCAGTGCATCCCTGGCCGCCCCGCTCATGATGCTCCGTGGAGTTTGTTTTCTCTGTTCATTAAACCTAAACTCTCTCCGTGAGTCGTACCGCCTTCACTACTGATAAAACATGACGTGCTCTGAGATTCACTCCGGCTCGTCTGAGATTGTTCTAATGCAGCAGAACATGAGTATCAGCCCGTTCCCCAGCCTCGTCGTCACACACACACGTGTGTTTGCTCTAGCCCCACACACACTCCGTTGATGTCAGCTCACACACACACTCCAAACATATTAGTGCTGTCCTTCACAGCGTGGCCGAGTAATTATTCTGATCAGGCGAGCCTCGGGAAAACTGGCCTCACAATGTGTGCATTTATGAAACGCTTGATTTTAATTTCAGACGGCCTGCAGCCGCCGACACACACACACACACACAGCTCTCACTGGCGATCTCAGGCGTTCGTCATGCTTACACTCTAATCAGAAACACAGGTGAGAGCCTTCACACACACCGTCTCTGTGTTCTGTGGGACTCGTTCATCTGAGCATTAATGTAGTCTGATGCTCACACACACCTAAAGCAGTGCAGCTCTTCTGGAGGAAGTGATGTCATGTAGCAGTCATGAGTTAATGAACTCTCAGGCTTGTGCTGGTACAGATGAATTATGTGATTTCTGTGGGACTGAGAAAGAAAACTATGTCCACTTATTTTTATTGCATTTATAGCGAAATGTTCTGGGTAGATTTGGAATGTTTTCTTTGTAAATGCTTAGGGATGAACGTTTATTTTCCTATGAGCGCGAGCGTCCGGTGATCGCTTGGAATGGATCTTCAAATGATCATAAATCTATAAATAAACCACAGATTTGAGCTTTAAAAAACTACTTTCTCGCCTGAAAACTCTTAAAACTAAATTTCGTGACACAATAACAGTAGTATTATATTTCAACTGTGAACTAACGCCCTGTAGCACGCGCGAGTGACGATACTCTGTCCACCAATCAGCGTTCTGCAGTGAGTCTAGCTCCACCTTTTAGTGCCGAACCACTGTGCTAGGTACCCCAACGGAAGGGTACCCAAAAAGTGGTACGGTTCGGCTTTTTGGTATCATTCACAACTTTTGACAGTGGATACGCAAATAATTGCGTACCAAACCGAACTGTACCGTTCAGTACCACTCAGTGGAAACGAGCCATTATAGTCAACACAATGTTTAAAACGGACCATCAAAATAAAGTGTTAGCAGAAGAGTTCATCAGAAGAGTTGATCAGCGAAAGCTGATGGAGGAGGTCGCCTTATCTTCAGTCAGTGGGGCGGTTCCGGGTCAGTTCCGGGTCGGTTCCAGGTCAGTTCCGGGTCGGTTCTGGGTCAGTTCTGGGTCGGTTCCGGGTCGGTTCTGGGTCGGTTCCGGGTTGGTTCCGGGTCGGTTCTGGGTCGGTTCCGGGTCTGTTCCGGGTCAGTTCTGGGTCAGTTCTGGGTCGGTTCCGGGTCAGGTTCTCTGAGGAACTCCAGACTTGCGTCAGTGTGGATGAATGCGAGTGGTTTGTGGCCCAGTTCTGTGGTGGAGGAAAGATGGATGTGTTCTGGTGTATCGCTGGTGCAGATCTCCATCTGTCTGTCCCTCACAGCTCGAACATCTGCTTGTCCTCGAGAACCAACGGTGTCGTCGTTCAACACTCGCTCCAGCGAGAGCAACTTTATCACTGCGCTCCTCCGACAGCGCGAACACTGACGCTGAATATCCGCGTTTATTAAAGTCATATATTAGGAATGACAGCAATGAAGACGAGCTACGGCCGTCAGGATGAAGAGACTGTTTTCTGATATAATTGATAGTTTTGGTTATTTGTGGGCTTTACAGAACATACATTTTGAGACCCATTCATAGCATATATTTCAATTAATCTTTTTAAAAATGAATGAATGAAAAGTTTATTGAACAACAACAATCAACACGAAGTGTTCAAAAGTATAAAAACACAAAAAAGCTCAAAGGCTTGTTTCCATTGAGGTCCCATTGAAAAAAACTTTGGTAACACTTTACAGTAAGGTTTAGTAGTTATCATTAATTAACTACGTTGGTGAACATGAACTAAGAATGAACAATGAGTGGCTCCGCCCACACACTCTTCTGATTGGCTGTAGTTTTGATTTAGTGCAGTGCTTGCAGAGAGGCTCCGCCCACACACTCTGATTGATGATGTGGCGTCTGGTGTGAACAGTTGCAGGAATCTGATCAGATGTGGTTAGAAACATGGAAAAGATATTGTCTGATTTGTGACTGATCTGAAAGTAATCTAAGAGTGAGTTTGGCGACCTGAGCCAGATCCCACAGAGTAAACCAGTGCAGTCCGGACTCTGGTCTGGTCTTACTCCTACAGTTTGTGAAGTTGAGGATGATTGATCTCCAAATATAAACAGAAAGCAGAGCAGAGGAACCCAGCGCTCCTGATCACATGTCCCAGATCATCATGGAAGGTGTTTCTCACGTGGAGAACACAGTAAGACTGAAGTTCTTCATGATGAAGTCCTCTGTCGTCGAATGGCTCCAGGTCAGTGTGGCTTATAGAAAGCAAACGTCATCAGAGGACATCGGCCGACAGCCTGCGGCGTCCACCAGGGCTTCATGGAGGTGAGTGGGCTTTCATGTCTTCATCTGCTGGGCTGTCTCTGGATGGTGATAGTAGGAGTGTTGTTATGATCTGGGGCCTGTGCTTCGTACGTTGCTTAAAACATCCGAGATCAAATGAGACATCCAAGATAATATCATCGTGCTCATCACAATCCGGCTAATTGGATTATTCGAACACTTTTGTTGTTTATGATTTTTTTAACTTCCATAGCTGGGCATTTAGTTGAAATGCTTCCTAGAAAACCCAGGTTATATGATGGTGAGGTCTTGTTTCAGTATTACTCTAAGTTTGGGGTGGTGTGAGCTTGGGTGAACCTCCAGAAAGCATTTGACACCATTGACCATCAGATTCTGCTGATTAAACTTAAAGCCCCAGGGTTTAACTGTATGGCATGTGAAAGGATTAGATCATACTTGACTGAGAGGTATTAAAGAGTTGATATTAATGGCATTCTGTCTCATGTGGGGTGCCACAGGGCAGTGTCCTGGGTCCATTGCTGTTTCTCTTCTATATAAATGATATGAAATCTGTTTGCAATTGTAATCTTTCTCTCTATGCGGCTGATTCAGCATTGGTGTTCTCCCATAAGGACATAAAAGTCATAGAGAACCATTAAAGTGATGAGTTAAAGAATACACTCTAAAAATGCTGGGTTGTTCAGATATGGACAAACCCAGCCATTGGGTTACATTTTTAACCCAACACTTGGGTTTGGCCATATTTGACCCAAAGTTGGGTTAAAACAACCCAGCATTTTTAGAGTGTATAAGCGAATGGCTGATTGAGAATAAACTGTGTTTGCGTTCAGGGAAAACTGAATCTATTGTATTTGGTTCAAATATAGGGTTGAGTAGGACTCCTGAACTGTGGGTGGTGCCCAGATTGAAGTAAAAAATTGTGTCCAATATTTAGGCTGTGATTTAGATCGCTCTTTGAGTGGTGCAAGTATGGGTCAAAGGGTTATTACAAAAGTGAATCAAAGAATTACATTTCTGGCACGTAAGGCTCATTTTTTAAAGAAACTTTACAAATGTTAGCCTCACTTCGATTAACGCCTGTACTACATGGTACAGCAGTGCCCCCAAGAGGATAAAAGTTCAACTGCAAACTGCTTATCAAGTTCTCCGCATCTCTGATAGTGTAAGGAAGACACTCGCAAAGACTTTTAGGGCAATGCAAACATTTTGTGCTGTTGTTAAAGCCCGACATCGAATCGAACATTAATGTGCATTTCTAACAAAATAACGTATAAACGACACCCTCACGATGATCGTTTTCACTATCGCGCTGCGCTAAAGGACTTCCGTCCTTTACACTTCGTGTCCAAGTTATGGAAGCATTGGTATAGTTGTCTCCTTTGAAGTTTGTATTATATTGTGTGTATTGTCTTATTTGTCTGTCTTTTTTTATCTGGACCAGTGAGTCTGTAATAAAGTTTATTATTATTATTATTATTATTATTATTATTATTATTATTATTATTCCGTATCCGCCGCGATCTAGTCCTGCTAGCATGAAATAAGCCTGCTTGCTAGCAGATTCAGGCTAACGGACGAAGAACCAAACAGTCCAAGATCATGGCAAATCGTCAACAATCTAATCCAGTGGCTAGCTGAGTTAGCAACGGATCTGTGACAGATCCCAGATCTGTGTTTCTGCAATCTGACCAACACATTTACATCAACACAGGCTTGAGTTTGTTTGGGCATGTTGGCAGATTTGTTGTGTAGTCTTTACGGTGGATCTTCGTTTGCTTGATTTACCAGTTGATTGAATTTACAGTCAAACCAACATTTCTTCACACACCTTCAACATTTCTCACATCATCAGTTTATTCGCTATAGTTTAGCTAATGGTGATAAACATGAGCAGTTCTCAGATCAGTGGATATGTGACTGTTTTTGTCCGTCCTTCTGTTGGACTCTCAGACATTTATGTTAGGGTTAGTGAAAACACTCAATCATAAAATGTGTGTTATATGATCATATATCTTTTGACCTAGTAAGAACTTATTTTGGACTATCTGTTGCTTGTTTATGGAGGACAAAGGCGATCGGCTAGTAATGCCTTACAGTATGTTAGCATGAGCATGAACTAGCTTCTCTACATCAGAAACAGGATCACGTTCTGGAGCGTAGCGAAGTCTCTGAGGAGGAAGACGGCTGTTTTTGTAGCATATGAAATATGATTTTATATGTTGATATTAAGTTGCTGCATATGAGACCCAGGTCTCATCCTTCCAAATGCACATTATATTCTACGATACAGGTTTGTGCTCCAATAAGTCGTACATTATATATATATTTTATATCCAGATAGTGCGCTCCGTAGCTTAGCAGTGTTTCAGAGTGCGTGTTCTCGAGCTCAAACACTGTGTGTGAATGAACGGCCGAAACACATTTTCTGTTCTGTGTTCAGTAGAGCGGTGTCGTGTTAATCACTAATGATCTTTACAACAGAAGTGAACCAATCAGAGTTAACTTTATCTGGACAATAACTTTACACTAGATCTGCTGTAAAGCCCAAACACTGTTACTGTAATCTCCTGTTATCACTGTAACGCTGCTGTGAAACTCTATACTGTAGAAATGAAGGAGACTCGACTTGACTATTTATAATAGTGTGTTTTTATGAGTTGTAGTCTGAACAGTAAACATTAGCAAAACAGTGTGTTTGATCATCATTTGTGATCATTTTCCTTCATGATTATTACATATTGGTGGTTGTGTTGTTGTGTCCAGTGTCTGATCTGTAGCATCTCTGCGTGTGTGTGTGTGTGTGTGTGTGTGTGTGTGACTCACAGAAGCTGTGTGCAGTAATCTGCTTCAGTCATTCGTCCTCAGGAATTCAGGCGTATGATGTGGTCACATGACCCGTGTGATGTGGTCACATGATCATCCGGCTCGACTGATTCAGGCTGGGGATTACTGGAAGTTTTCTTTCATGTGGTCGACTCGGACATTTCTTCACGCACAAAACACTTCATTTGTCCGTGTGAGCATGTTTAACGAGCATACGCTGCTATTATATTTCAGCATTAGCAGCGTGAAGTGTGTTTCTGACGAACCCGAAGCCTTTAATGACGATCCTGCGCTTCACTCCTGACTCTCCAGATCAAGAGTTTCCATCTGAGAGTCAGCGGCTTCTTCAAGTCTCTGCGTGAGTGTATTAATATTCATACGCGGGTCAGTGAGTGTTCTCAGTGTCATGCTGAGCTTTCCCACTGCTCCTCTTCTTCAAGCGCAGCGTCAGGACGAAGGGTTAACTGGGTCACTGTGGGAAGGATCTCATCCTCCTCCGGCCGTTCTTCTCCGTAAAGCTCCTCAACAGCGCTGATCAAATCAAAACAGAAGTATGTCTGTGAGTGTAATAGTGATCATTAAAGAAGTTCTTTTGATTTACTCGTTTTACTTAATCCCGAATCAAATCACAGTCTGGATTCCAGTTCAACATTTACTGTCTCCTCAGATTTGAGGAAACTCGTCGTTACACACACAAACACGTCAAGAAACGGCCTAACTTGGAGAAATTATGACAGAAACATAACGCATTATCATTGTACCATAAAATGTGTGAGTGTTTGAGTGAGTGAGTGAGTGTGTATGTTGTGAGTGTGTGAGTGAGCAAATGTTTTAGTGTGTGTATGTGTGTGTGTGAGCGACCAAATGTTAAATGAGTGACTTAGTGAGTGATTGAGTGTGTGTGTGAAGTCACATTTATTTATATAGCATTTTTACAGATTGTTTCAAAGCAGTTTATGAAAATATACAGACCGAATCCAATGATTGGAGGAAGATTTTAATGTTCTGCTACAGAAGTATTTACAGTATTTAAATCTGTTTAGAGCAGCAGTGAAGAGTCTTCATGTTTCTGGAACAAACCCTGCCTTTCCTGTCTTGTCGAATAATGATGAACTGAAGCGCTGAGCTGAAAGATTTGAGCATTAATATTAATATTTCGGCTTTCATCTCGTGCACCTGCAGCGACGGACGTGTTTCTGTGTGAAGTTTCTCGTGTGTTTGAACACGGATGTTTCCGTCCGTCAAAGCGTCGTTCTGTCTGATGTGGTCAGTCACAATAATCAAATGATTTTGACAAAAGCAATTCTTATTCCATTAATTTGCAATCATTCTTTCATCATTTATGAAATGTATCATGTACATTTTATATATGTATAGTCACATTTAATATGTCTTGACAAATCTGACTGTAATTTAGGGACATTTTATACTTTGCAGTTCAGTTTCTAGACTGTTTCTTGAATGGTCTTTTACAGCGGACGAGGAAACACGTTCTGCTCTGATCATCAAACACTTCATGATCTGACATTTAGTAATATAATGTTTGTTTCATCGTATTTAGCTGCTAAATCACATCTTCTGTTGTTTATGAAATTACTGTCGGTTTTCATGTTAATTAAGTTTCATGCAACTGATATTTATAGTCATATCAGTGACATCACAACTCCAGTGAAGGAAAGTCAATTAATGGGAACATAGAAATAAGAGAACATTTATATATATATATATTCTAATATACTGTACACTGCACTCTATCTCTACTGTACACGCGTGAATATGCGTTTCCTTCAGTCCGAGGATTGTTGTTTAACTTTTGCCCCAAAATACAACTTTTTTTGTTATAGAAAAACAAGCCCAGTCCAGGTAAAAAAAAAAAAAAAAGTACCGCAAAAGTAACATAACTCATCATTATTTTTCTAAAAAAAGATCTAGGTAATGCGATTAGTCTCTTTTTAAGGGGGTAATGCAATATTGTAATACATTACTTTTCAGTGTAACTTTCCCCTGCAGCTTTTCTCTGTGTATATGTGTAATGTCCAAACAGGTGGATCAGTGTTTATAACATGGGAAGGACAAGAAAGACATTGATACAGTTAAAATTGCATTTCATTAGTCCAGTTATCTAGCCCTTTTGTGAGCGTTAACACATCCTCGATGATGGCTCAGTAAACTGCTCCAAATTATTGTCTATTATGCCAATAATATAATGTCTAATATGCCAAGTTCAAGGGTCCTTTAACCAAGATTGGCCCCGTAAAAAGTAGCCCTACTATAAAGTCCATATGTTTAACGCACACACACAGCGAGCGGAGCAAGGAAGTCGTTTTTAGTTCCAGGACTGTCTTTCATTGGGTGAAGTCGAGTTCTCTCTGGCATCATCCTGGACCTCCGGCATTGCCCAGGTTTGCTTTGAAACCTTCTGTGTTTTCTTTCCCAGTAGAGCTGGAGAAATGCATTTCAGAGCCGCTCGCGTGCGATCTGTCGTTCAACAATCGTTCATGAGGCCTGCAGTTCTTACGCTCCTCGCTGAAGTGGGCGGTAATCATGGCACATCAACACTGCGATCTGGAACTTTCTGAACACATTCATGAGAAAACTGTATTTATTTGAGGTATCTAATGAGGATTTAAGTTTGATGTGACGCCACTGGACAGCTGATGCATTCTGGGATTATGCTGGACAAATAAACACCCGTGTAACGCGCCGTGACTTCAGCGAGACGAGAACATGCACACAATAAAAGCATCTGTTGAGTTAATCGTGTTGCTGTGAATCTGGCGTTTGCAGCGTTATATTCTCAGTGTCGTATGTAAAAACCTCCTGTGTGTCCTTTATGAGCTGTAAGTGAGATCAGATTGAGCTCACATGAGTTTCTTCATCAGCAAAAACAGGCAGATGCACACGGCAGTCGGATTTTGAAGGACAGTTTGCAATCGTACTCTGTTTCCATATATGTACACAATATATTGCCAGAAGTATTGGGACACCCCTCCAAATCGTGGAATTTAGGTGTTCCAATCACTTCCATGCACATAGTTATATAAATCAAGGCATGTAGACGCTTCTGCAAACATGAAGCGAGGGGCGGGGCTCGGCGGAGTAAAGCGAGGGGCGGGGCTCGGCGGAGTAAAGCGAGGGGCGGGGCTCGGCGGAGTAAAGCGAGGGGCGGGGCTCGGCGGAGTAAAGCGAGGGGCGGGGCTCGGCGGAGTGAAGCGATGGGCGGGGCTCGGTGGAGTGAAGCGAGGGGCGGGGCTCGGCGGAGTAAAGCGAGGGGCGGGGCTCGGCGGAGTAAAGCGAGGGGCGGGGCTCGGCGGAGTAAAGCGAGGGGCGGGGCTCGGCGGAGTAAAGCGAGGGGCGGGGCTCGGCGGAGTGAAGCGATGGGCGGGGCTCGGCGGAGTAAAGCGAGGGGCGGGGCTCGGCGGAGTAAAGCGAGGGGCGGGGCTCGGCGGAGTAAAGCGAGGGGCGGGCTCGGCGGAGTAAAGCGAGGGGCGGGGCTCGGCGGAGTGAAGCGAGGGGCGGGGCTCGGCGGAGTGAAGCGAGGGGCGGGGCTCGGCGGAGTAAAGCGAGGGGCGGGGCTCGGCGGAGTAAAGCGAGGGGCGGGGCTCGGCGGAGTAAAGCGAGGGGCGGGGCTCGGCGGAGTGAAGCGAGGGGCGGGGCTCGGCGGAGTGAAGCGAGGGGCGGGGCTCGGCGGAGTGAAGCGAGGGGCGGGGCTCGGCGGAGTGAAGCGAGGGGCGGGGCTCGGCGGAGTGAAGCGAGGGGCGGGGCTCGGCGGAGTGAAGCGAGGGGCGGGCTCGGCGGAGTGAAGCGAGGGGCGGGGCTCGGCGGAGTAAAGAGAGGGCGGGGCTCGGCGGAGTGAAGCGAGGGGCGGGGCTCGGCGGAGTGAAGCGAGGGGCGGGGCTCGGCGGAGTAAAGCGAGGGGCGGGGCTCGGCGGAGTAAAGCGAGGGGCGGGGCTCGGCGGAGTGAAGCGAGGGGCGGGGCTCGGCGGAGTGAAGCGAGGGGCGGGGCTCGGCGGAGTAAAGCGAGGGGCGGGGCTCGGCGGAGTGAAGCGAGGGGCGGGGCTCAGCGGAGTAAAGCGAGGGGCGGGGCTCGGCGGAGTAAAGCGAGGGGCGGGGCTCGGCGGAGTGAAGCGAGGGGCGGGGCTCGGCGGAGTAAAGCGAGGGGCGGGGCTCGGCGGAGTGAAGCGAGGGGCGGGGCTCGGCGGAGTGAAGCGAGGGGCGGGGCTCGGCGGAGTGAAGCGAGGGGCGGGGCTCGGCGGAGTAAAGCGAGGGGCGGGGCTCGGCGGAGTAAAGCGAGGGGCGGGGCTCGGCGGAGTGAAGCGAGGGGCGGGGCTCGGCGGAGTGAAGCGAGGGGCGGGGCTCGGCGGAGTGAAGCGAGGGGCGGGGCTCGGCGGAGTGAAGCGAGGGGCGGGGCTCGGCGGAGTAAAGCGAGGGCGGGGCTCGGCGGAGTAAAGCGAGGGGCGGGGCTCGGCGGAGTGAAGCGAGGGGCGGGGCTCGGCGGAGTGAAGCGAGGGGCGGGGCTCGGCGGAGTAAAGCGAGGGGCGGGGCTCGGCGGAGTGAAGCGAGGGGCGGGGCTCGGCGGAGTGAAGCGAGGGGCGGGGCTCGGCGGAGTGAAGCGAGGGGCGGGGCTCAGCGGAGTAAAGCGAGGGGCGGGGCTCAGCGGAATTCTCCCTTGACAGAAACAGAAGGTCAGGGTTTCTCTCTGTGAAACTTCTACATTCATCTTCCATCTGGAGGACCTTCAACTAGATAAATACTTTATTGTTTGTAAGATCATAGAAAAACACATTATTGTAACGTCACATACACTGGATATTGGGAATATGATGTGTCAAAACAAACACGTTAAGAGCAACTAAAACTATCTATCCAATAAATTAAATGAATCATTTCTATGTCATACACAAATTTAAACAATTATCAATGCTTCAGTTGACGGATAGTAACAGAAAAGCAACAGGCCTCTTTCATGAAACTCACTTATGCATGAAACGTAAATCTGCTCATATAAACTGTGTCACTGAACCGAAGGAAAGGATTTATTATTATTTCTAAGATTGTACTAATACTTTAGAGAAATTCGCTCTGCTGCAGTAGCTGATTTAGTTTGTGTGTGGGTGTGTGTATAATATATATATGATAAGTGAACAAACAGCAAATGCTTTATTAAAAACTCTAAATTACATCTATGATACATCCGATATTTACATGGAAATGATTCTTCTGGAAACGAAGAAACAAATTGAAGTGTTCAGTGTTTAGTTTTCTGCATTTGTCCCGAATGAACCAGGAAGTGGTTCAGGATCAGTGTGTGTGACTCCAGATATTATAAAAGCAGCCGTATGATCATCTGAACGCTCAGAGCCGAGAGGGCGGGGCTTGTCCATGAGGGGGAGGAGCCTGAGAATGTCCCGTCGTGATTGGCTCTGCCATACTCCTGTGGGTGTGTCTGAACACTGATGTAACCATTGATGATGCGGACGAGAGGGGGCGGAGCTTCTGCCGTCACACTGAGAGAGAGAGAGAGAGAGTTATGATGAAATGGACTGATGAACCGCAGAATAATGACTGACAAGAAACACACAGCAGAAATGATGCTTTTCCTCAGTATCTTGTTTATCTAAACATTCTTAAGGTTCTGAAATTTCTGAGAAAAGCATTTTAAAACTCAAAATGAAGTGAGTTTATGCTTAAAACGAGACAAATATGCGTTTAGAAAAATCATAATTCAAAGTGAAAACAAGATTATTTTTCTGACTCCATTGACATATTTATGGAAGCTTGTTTTCGCCACAGAATAAAAAAAAAGTTAATTGCGACTTTTTATTCACAATTGCAAGTTATAAAGTCAGAATTGTGAGATATAAACTCGTAAGTCGTAATTATCTTTTAAAATGTCTTATTCTGTAGCCGATACAAGCTTCCATTGATATTTTGAGAATGATTAGATATTAGTGCTGGAACACAGAAACACAGAGGAAGAGCGTGTGTGGTTTGTGACATGGTGTGTGTGTTTTCAGGAGAATTCCTCCGATCACATGTGGTTTCGCTCAAACACCGCGATCGCAGTCTCTTCGGTCACGTGACCGGCTGAAATCTGCGCGTTTATGAAATATGAATCCGCACTAAACGCCCGTCTTTTCCTTGAAGGAGGAGGGAAAATAAATGGAGGTTTAGAGTCTGTCAGAACTCATGAGACGGACGGGAAACATAAATAAAGTTCCCTTCACGTCCTCCATCTGTGTCAACACTCGAACATCTCTGAGCGTGTGTGTGTGTGTGTGTGTGTGTCAGACGTGTGCCAGGCCCGTCTCCCTCCACGGGTCAGAGTAAATGAAGTCTATATGCAGCTCTTCTGTTTGTGTTGAGCGTCTGGACCTGAACCGCCACTCGCTACGCTTCCATAAACTGTTTATTAAAGAAATATTGTTGTTCCTCAGGATTACGTGGGCGACTGTAGACGTAAATTCAAGCAAATGTCCAGAACACGGTTCAGGCTCAGCTGAGAACATGTAAAGACTCTGTTACACACTCCAGAACTGACACTGATCCGATCGAGACGGGGAACTGGGCTAATGTCTGAAACCATACAAAACTTTCCATTACTGGAAATAAAATCAACATTTACTGGGATTTCAACTAGATAAAGTTGAAGTGATTAAAACTAAATCTAAAACTATATAATCTTTTTTTAGAGAAAAAAGTGACACTTTACCGTAAGGTTCCTTTAGTTTACAGGAAAAAAACTTCTAAAGCATTTATTCACCTTAGTTAATGTTGATTTGGAAATGTACTAACACATCATTACAATCAAAAGTTGTTAATAGTATTAAATGAACCTGAACTAACATTAACTAACAATGAACTGTTATGTTTTTATTACCTAACCTTAACAATAAATAAATAAATAAATAAATAAATAAATAAATACGGTAAAGAATGCATTGCTCGTTAACTTACTGTAGTGTTACCACAACATCTAATAAAAATGACAAAAGCACAACTTTAATGAAAAAATAAAATAATCTAATGAAAAAATAATTTCATTCAAAATATATTATATAAACCATTAAAACATTTTCACTACTTCAAATAAACATACTGAAATAAAATAAAATATAAAAATATAACTGAATTAAGTCTTTCAACTAAAATAACCTAAACTAAATAAATAAAATAAAAACTATATACTCATATTTCAAAAAACAATAAAGATTAGAAGAAATTATTGCGCTCTATATTGCCAAATATTTAGTTCTCTTTCGAGGGAACTCGCGATGCGTCAGTCTGTCTGTTATATTTACTGCTGTCTGTCTGATATATATATATATATATATATATATATATATATATCATATATATATATATATATATATATATATAATATATATATATATATATATATGAAGAGTTCAGATGCAAAAGCCTCTAAATGCCATTTTAAATTTTCTTCTTTAATGATGATTTTTATCAAACTTGTATATTTAAGTTCAGTAATTTCACTTAAATGGCAATGATAATTACCTAATTGTTATTTAAGTGAAATTACTGAACTTAAATATACAAGTTTGATAAAAATCATCATTAAAGAAGAAAATTTCAAATGGCATTTAGAAGCTTTTGCATCTGAACTCTTCATATATATATATATATATATATATATATATATATAAAACACTATTGCGAAGTGGAGGTAGATATGCTGGGCTTTGAAAGTGACACAATCATGGGGGAAGCGGATTCTCAATCTCTTTCCAGTAGTCTATATGGCAGCCCTTGTGGCCACTGAGAGACACCTCTGGCTGAGTTTGATGGAGATCAAGGAGAGATACAGCTGTCTTCGGCGACACGGTTATTTGGGTCGTCGAGAGTCTCCAGGAGGCCAAACCACAGTCAGAGGCGGTTAAACATCTCTCCCTCGGGGCTGCTGGGTGAGACAGCTCCGGCCGTCTAGTTTCTCATACGCAGCAGAAGCAGAAGCAGAAACAGAAGCAGAAGCTGAAGCAGAAGCAGAAGCTGAAGCTGAAGCAGAAGCAGAAGCAGAAACAGAAGCAGAAGCTGAAGCAGAAGCTGAAGCAGAAGCTGAAGCAGAAGCAGAAGCAGAAGCTGAAGCAGAAGCTGAAGCAGAAACAGAAGCAGAAGCTGAAGCAGAAGCAGAAGCTGGTTGCGAGGGCCGTTCTTCACGCTAAGATGGCTTCGGCTCAAAAGAAATGGCGCCACCGAGTTTCTGAGTTTTTTAGTTTCAAGGTATACGTGGCGGCCATAGTGGCTTTCCACGCCCCGGTGGGTGGCACATCGTTGGGTCGAGACCCCCTGACCACACGTCTCATTCGTGGCACATTGAGGCTGAGGTCTGCAAGGGGACCGGCTTGGGACCTAGCAATAGTTTTAAAAGGCCTGTCTAGGGCTCCATTCGAGCTTTAGATTTGGTTTCAGAGAAATGTCTTACTTTTAAGACCATCTTTCTGCTAGCTATATCGTCCCTCAAAAGAGTCAGGCCCTTTCGGTTTCCCCCATTTGCCTTGAGTTTGCACCGGGGATGGTCAAGGCATTCCTATATCCCAAACAGGGATCCATCCCTAAGGTGCCGACCCTGATCCCGAGGCCCATCTGTCCGTCTCCTTTACCTCTCGGACCAGGAAAGGCTGAACCTCTTAAGTCCAGTGCGAGCAAAAATACATCAAATATATCATTGGCAGTAAAATAAGTCTGAAGGTCCTTGCAGACTGAGGGCTCTATCTTACACCCGGCGCAAATGACTTTATTCACAAACGCATGTCTCATTTCTATTTTGCACACGCGCAAAGCGGGATTTTCCACAGATACACGTCGGTAAACTAGGGAATGAACTTGCGCTCTCTGGGCGGATCGGCGCAAAAGGAGGCGTGTTTCGGCGCAAACATTCCCTGGTGCTATTTTACACTTCCAGAACACAACTCCGCCGCTGACCAGAAAACACCTGGTCTAAAGTCAGTGGCGTGTTGCGCGGTGTTCATAATGCTATTTTAAGCGCGCATGCTTGGCCATAATGTAGCGGGTGCACATACACTGATTCTCTCATCAACACAGATGCAGCAGTTTTTATTTTTGCCAATCATACATTATAACAAGGAAAAATATGAACACATGAGGGAAATCATTGTGGTGTCCATGAAGATGAAAAAACCGAATTACCCATTTTTAAGGCTAATTGTGATACTGGA